CCCCCCCCCCCCCCCCCCCCCCTTCCTTTTATAGTATACGGGCCTGGTGACTTTTAAATAATGGACAATAACAAAAAAAAATTTAACTGTTAATAAGTGCTCAAGATATACATCAATTTTACTTGTGGAGCTATTTAGAAATATTTCTAATTAAATAATTAGATTGAAATTTCGTTCCGTTATTTCGGAGACCGACAAAGAAATAAAATATCTAAAAAAAAATTATAATATACAAATTGTAATCGAATTTCAATTTACCTGTGGCCTAGTTTGGTATAAATCTTAGATTTGGCGAAGTTTAATTGGTAGATTCAACAAAAAATAAGGTAATTTTCTTATGCAATGATCGGATAGATATTTATTGGCATAATATAATTCTAGACTAAGCATGACATGATGGCACATACATTCATATACGAAATATTTACATAGGCTACTTATATAAAATAGGCCATGATTAATAGGCCTACACATATAGATATTTATGCAAGAAAATGCCAATGGCAATGGCACGGGATATCTTTGCTTTTTTAATTTTTTTACTCTATTTCTTCGGACTACATCTGCTACTCGAGTTTGCATGTTACGGTCTGACATTACGGGTATATTACGTCATATTGACAACTATTTACAGACATTAGACATCCGTTGGCTAAAAATCTATGTTAAAATTTCAATTGATCAGAAAAAATCAGAGGAATTATTGTCCATATGGTTGGATTAATACGTTACACAAATATCCACGTGGGTTGTGACGTCATGAATGTGAACTATGAACTTTGAACCTTCGTCTGGGCTCATAAAATAAACCCGAGAATGACCATTGAAAATGTTATAATATTCAACATAAAATAAAATATTTGTGATTTATATTACAAAATATACTTCGTTGAAACGTTATAAAAGGAATTTAGTCTACCAATATTGATTTCTGATAACAAGATTTATTATTCATTACAAGAAGAAACCGGTCCAAGTGCTTGCGATTTGATTGGCCAATAAAATTGTTTTCGTCAGCAAGTACCTGCTTTTAACCAATCAAATTCTGTGTCATAAGCTGGTTGTTGGTTGAAATCCATACGCCTAGCCTTTTTACTACCATCTGACCCTAGGTATTCCTTCTGTTACGTGGTTGGTGAGTGAAGACATTTCCACTCAATGTTTTCTTATACAAAATTGTTTTAACATTAATCTAAATATTTCTTTTCAATCTTTTCAGATATCAACCCCGGCAAATTGGAGAATCTTTATCAAGGAAATCTCTACTAGGACGGAATTACGGACGCAGTACGGTAAATATTAAAATTTTTACTCTCTCACCCCGAACCAAAAACGACACGTCTACAAAAATAAATATGAACATAAGTCAAACTTCAGGAGATAATAATGTATAAACGGTAAATGCCTGGATCAAATCGTTACAGAATTTGACACTCTCTCAGATTTATAGTTAATCCAGCTACCTTATCTTTTGAAAATAATGACTTTAGCTTAGAACTTCTGTAATGTAAACTGTAAAGTTCTGTTCTTACAATCTTAGTTTTAAATTCTTAGTTAAAAAGAATCACCAACCACCCCCCTACTGCCTGTTGATAATATCAGAAATGTGTACAGATCTAGAAGTAAAGGTGTCAATGCATTATAAGATTAAATTAAACCACTTACACAAAAAAATAGTGCCTGTCTTGATCAATCTTATATCTATGCCATGTCCTAAAAATGATATTCATAAGAAGAGGTAAAATGTGTGTCTTGTGAGCACTTAAATGACAGCTTTACAGCTTATTGGCACCAGATTAAATTTTTAATGGGTCTAAATCTTTCATAGGCTATCATTATTTGTTTGGTGAAGTTGATTCTTATTCACATATAATTTAATGTGTAAAATTTGATTTTCTAACTAGAATTGTAGTAAAGTAAAAGAAGTAATCGAAATGATCAGGAATGTAGTTACTTAGCATGGAAAACTTTATTTTTTTAGCTGTGCTGTTCGACTTGGATCTGTCTCCTGAAAAATGAGCAAGGACATGGCTACTAATTCTGCTGAGGTAGTCCACAGTGTGGAGGATGAGGCTTACGAACCCCAAACTTATAATGATGCTTTTCCTGCTTTAGAAACTTCCCGCGATGTCTCGACAATTCAATCAAACAATGCTTGGAAATCTCAGACGGGAGCATGGAAACACCCTTCCATTCGTACAACTAAATGTACCCAGGTATGTGTATTCTGAAGATATTCATTTAATTTGGGAAATGATTTTTTGGCTTATGCTTGTGTATGAGACAAAATATAGCCAATAACTTAAGCTTTTTGTGACATCATTTCAGATTGTGGTCATAGTCATATTTGAGATCTGAGTTTTTTTACTAATTTGTATTGAATTTTTTATAAATCTTTAGGTACTTAAAATCAACAAAACACACACACACAATAAGACTATCTACTTAAACCATATCTTCCTGTTTCAGTTATTTTTGTTTGTTGAAGACTAAACATCTTGATTCATTATACTCAAGCCCCCTTTTTTTTTATCTAGGGTAGCTTTTAAATACATGACTATTGCAACATTTTACCTGCCACGTGTCTAGGTGGTATCTCACATAAATTGTCACTGACCACGCCTCTGAAGTTCATTCTGAAAAGATAGCAGAATAATAACTGTAATTACATTAATGTTAGTTTCTATCTTCATATTATATTTCAGGTGTTCTCTGTTCCTTTAGAAGAAAGACGATTCAAGGAAATGGATGATCGCTTATTTGGAGATGAAACTGAACAGACCAAGATTTGTAAAGATATCATGGCAAGAACAGGTATCTTGACAAGAAGGATGTTTCATACACTCCTAGTTTTCTATTCCACTTTAAGAAAATTTGCCCAAATTGCATGTATATTCATGTTGATGACTTTTGATCTTGTCTCATGTTCTTGACACTTTCCACAACTTAAATATCTAACTCTTGACATAATGGGTCATTAAGAATTTGGGGGTTTTATTCGTGCAGGAAATGTTAATTGAATCTAGTACAACATTGTTACTAAGTAGAGTGTGTTCTTGACTCTGTGGAAGGAAACAAAAAAGGATCTATGATGATATTTTAGCTAACTTCATGGGAAACACGCAACTGCTCCTTAATTTATTTAATGATATATATCACTGAAATTTTAGGCGTTTCTATTGAAATAAGTATGGCTAAAGATCAAAGTTTAACAGTTGTTGTACATGGTAAGAGTGATGCTGTAATGAAGGCACGTCGTGAAGTAATGACAAGACTACAAACTCAGGTATATTATTTTCTTTCTGTCATAACTAATCTAACATAATGCTATTTATAACAGCAACTGAATGCATTTAAACTAAAAACATTGTTAAAAGTTAAACTCTTCTTTCAAAAGATATAATGAATCTAAATCCTACAAACCACTCAACTTGTTCTGTAAACATGATTTCAATATTTTATTGAAATGATTTTCAAAGAGTTTGAGATTTATCAAATCTTTAGGCCAATGTTCAGCTGCATTTAGTTAGAATGTTCATTTCAGAGCAAGTCCATTTACTTCAGGAAAATTAACAGTTATAAAGTTTCTTGAAGTCATTTCAATAATCATTATTTAATTCCAGGCCAACTCTCTTGTAAGTATTCCGAAAGAGCATCATCGTTATATTTTGGGTAAAAATGGCAAAAAACTACAGGAATTGGAATTATGTACGGCAACAAAAATAACTGTTCCTAGACCTGATGATGATGGTGAAATGATAAAGATTGTTGGACCAAAAGAAGGGATTGATAAGGCAAAACATGAAATACAACTCATCTCTGCTGAACAGGTAGGTAACATTATGTTGTTATATATCTCTTGGCTTGTTAAGTATTAAGTTTAATTTTCAGTGATTCCACATATAAGTGAAGACGTTCTTTATCGATCATTTTATGATATATTACTTCTTTCAGGCTAAATTAGGATTTGAAAGGTTACAAATATTGAAGGTGTTCCATCCGTTTGTTTGTGGACCTAACAACCAGATTATCAAGAAGTTAATGGATGAAACTAATGCTAAGATTAATGTACCACCACCTAGTGTCATGAAAGATGAAATTGTTGTGTCTGGTGAGAAGGAAGGTGTTATGAAGTGTAAAGATACCCTAATGAATATATATGAAGAAAAGGTCGGTATTAGATCATGCAGTCCGATGATAAATTTATATACATGCACTTGTTATGTATTCTGATTTATACATTACAAGGCATTAAATAGCATAGCAAAGCAGTTTTATATTTGATCATAGCTGTTATGTTATAGATTAACAGCTGTGTCAATTTATCAATATTTTTATATAGAAAGGCATATATATTAATGCCATTAAAATAACTAAATTAACAAAACACTTTGAGACAAAAACTATGAACCTGATTTTTTTGGTATTTGAAATATATTTTTTATTACTTGTTGATTTTATTTTATTGTTTAAGTTGTGACATATTTTCCTCATGTTTTTTGTCTTTTTTTAACAAAGGAAATATTTTCTTCTTATTTCAGAGAAGAAAGTGTCAAACAGTTTCTGTTGAAGTTCGTAAATCACAGCATAAATACATCATTGGACCACGAGCCTCTGGCTTACATGAGATTTTGGGTGCCACTGGTGTGTCTGTTGAAGTACCTCCCAGTGACAGCTCCTCGGAAACTATTACTCTTCGTGGTGAACAAGAGAAGCTTGGACCAGCTTTAACCATGGTTTATTCTAAGGTGAGAACATTTGCTGTTCTTATACAACCTTTCAAAATATGGGATACTATTGTTTTTAATCATTTATTATTATCCTGATAGCAACTAAAGTTTTCATGTTATTTTGTTGAGATTTTAGATGAGCTATACTTGACAAATGAATCTTAAGTTTAAGTGATTTGGATGAAACGTAAGACTGCACTTGTCCTTCGACCAAGTGTTAATCATTCTGATGTTAAGAGAAATTTGTGATTACTGTTTAGATGAATATTGGTATGCTTGGCATAACTTTTTTGAATTTTCGAGCCTTTTACTTTATGTCCTGAGTTGCAGTTATTGATTCTCAGAGTTACTGATTTGAAATTATTTCTACTAACAGTTTGTTAAATGAAATCTGAAAAATATCTGCACTCTTTACATCTTTGGGAATATTTTATTTTTCAAATGATGATATTTCTTTGGTATATTGGGTATGGTCATGATTCTGAATATTGTTGTTTTTAAATTATTAAAATAAATATACTGATGTTTTATATGTGTTTCAGGCTAATAGTGTAGTGTTTGCTGATGTTTTGGCTCCATCTTGGTTACATCGTTACGTTATTGGTAGAAAAGGTGCACACATCAAAAAAATATCTGAAGATTTCCCAAAGGTCTGTTAAATACATAGACTCTACATTTATGATTTTATACTAATTTTTTATTGCAATGTTTTGTCTTTAATAAGAAATTTTGGTATCAAAAAAATAAACTGGTAGTCATCAATTTGAAATTTTGTTTTACAGGTGCATATAGAATTTGTGGAAAATCAAGATAAGATAACTATAGAAGGACCTCCAGAAGAAGTTGATGATGCTGTTAAAGCTTTAAATCAATATGTTGATGACTTGGTGAGTTTCTACTATTAGTACCCAGTGACAAGATATACTTACTTAGTATATCAGTTATAGTCTCTTCAAGACAATGAAACTACTCTACTATACTATACTTACTATGTATATTAATTATTACATCTGTGGTAGTAGAAAAACTTCATGTAAGGGACCAAGGTAATAAATATTCATGATACACATGATTTTCAAACCCACTCAAAACACTGAAACATGATGTACAAGAAGTTAATAGCAAATTTCTTATTATAGTATTAATGGTTATAACAAACAAATTTTTTATATTATAGAAAAGTAGAATGACCTTTGCTGAAATCACAGTTGACCAAAAGTTTCACAAACACATCATTGGAAAGGCTGGTTCCAACAGTAAGTTTCTTAAACCTTAGTCCTTTCTAACATATGATACCATCTATTGCATTTACAAGAATGTTTTAGGCTCTCATAAATAGGAATTTTTTTACCATTCAAACAATTAAATGAATTGTTTTTTTTTTAGTCACTAAAATAAAGAACAGTACTGGAGTATCTATACAAATACCATCAGATGATGAAAAGTCTAATGTTATTAGAATAGAAGGCAACCCAGAAGGCGTAGTATCAGCTAAAGAACAATTGATGGAAATGGCCACAAGAATGGTGAGACCTCAGAACATAATTTTTGCTCAAATTTGTGAAAACTATAAAGCATAATCTACGTAACGTATCTGAAAATTTTAACTAAAAATATCCATTCGTTACTTTTTGTAACGTTAATACTTGCTCGCTGTTAAAAAACTTCTGTATGGATTTGAGTAAAATAAACGCCTGATTGTAGAGAAATGTGGGCGTATTACGAATGCATTGCTATTTTTGATATACAAAAAAGTGGAATGACTCTTTAACGCAGTCATTTACTCTCCAAGAGATTATCAAGATTGGACCTCTTGCAAGGCATTTTCTTGAATATTACAAAAAAAAACATCTGAAAGAATTTGATACAGTATCATAATCATTTCCACACTGTCTAAAATGAAAATTTTAATTTGTAGGAAAATGAAAAAAGTCGAGATATTGTCATTGAACAAAGATTTCACAAGACCATCATTGGCGCCAAGGGAGAGAATATTCGTGAAATTCGTGATAAATTTAATCAGGTTCAGATTACATTCCCTGAACCAGGTAAAAAAAGTTCAGTAGTGACATTAAGAGGTCCCAAGAATGATGTTGATAGATGTTATAAATACCTTCAACACTATCACACTGAATTGGTAAGTAGAATTTATATCTCATTTATATTTAAATAAGAATGATGTCTATTTGTTCACTATTACTTTAATACAAACAATGACAACATGACACAATATAATACAAGTTAACTATATAGTCATATACTCGTAATCCTCTAATATTGATATGATTGTTGATAGTAATTTATTGTAAATGTGGTGTCTAAGAGAAAACCATTGAATACTTGGCATGTGGAATAGCCATTGTTATTGACAATTATCTGTGTGTTAGGAATGGACTCATCATCTTAAACTTTCTTTTTATCTTTCAGTTGGAGAGTAACTACCAAGCAGAAGTACATATATTCAAAGGCTTCCATAAAAATATTATCGGTAAAGGTGGTGCTAATATTAAAAAGGTAAGATGGTTACCTTTTTAAAATGGTTAAAATAATGTATATTTCAAATTCCGAATGAATCTAAAACTAACAGAATTTTGAGAGACATTGTTCAGGACAAAATGAATGCAATGAGTTTCATTTAAAGGTCTATACTGCATGTACAAAAAATGGAATTGAATTAATTTTAGATTCGAGATGATACTGATACTAAGATTGATTTACCAAGTGAAAACAGTGAATCTGATGTTATTACAATTACTGGTAAACGTAAAAATGTTGAAGATGCTAAAACACAAATTGAAACTATGCAGAAAGAATTGGTAGGTAAACAATTTTTTTAAAGTGATAGATTTTTTTTCTTAAATAGGATTCAAGATTTTCTTTTTTCAAATTACTATTCTTACTATAGATGAATTTGCTTGTAAACACTCCAGAAGGCACAATTCTTGACTGATTTTGACGAAACTTACTGAAATTGTTTATTATCACCCAAGGATGAACCCTATTGAAAATCAAAAAAATCGAAAAATATTTAATATGAGTTATTGCCTTTGTTCTTCAAAAAAAACGCGTTCAATTTTTAGCTTGTAAACACTCTACATGCCACAATTCTTGCTGGATTTTGACCAAACTTTGTGAAGTTGTTTATTATCACCCGAGGATAAACCCTATTGAAAATCAAAAAGATTTAATATGAGTTATTGCCCTTGTTCTTCAAACCACGTTAAATTTTTAGCTTGTAAACACAAGAAACTTGGTGAAGTTGTGTATTATCACCCAAGGATAAACTCAATTGAAAATAGAAAAAATAGAGTTATTGCCATTGTTCTTGAAAACGCGTTCAATTTTTAGTTCGTAAACACTCTAGAAGGCACAATTCTTGACAGATTTTTACGAAACTTGGCATGAGTGTTGGTTATCACCCATGGATAAACCGTATTGAAAAACAGAAAAATTGAAAAATATTTAGTATGAGTTATTGCCCTTGTTCTTGAAAACGCGTTAAAATTTTAGCTTGTAAACACTCTAGAAGGGACAATTCTTGACGAATTTTGGCGAAATTTGGATAAAGGATAAACCCTATTGAAAATCAGAAAAATCGAAAAATATTTAGTATGAGTTGTTGCCTCTGCTATTGAAAACGCTTTCAATTTTGAGCACGTAATCACTTTGATGAAACTTGGTGTGAATGTTCATAATTACCCAAGGATGAACCCTATTGAAAATCAGAAGAATTGAAAAATATTTAGTATGAGTTATTGCCCTTGTTCTTGAAACCGCATTCAAATTTAGCTCTTAAACACTACAAGGCATGATTCTTTCCTTGCCTGGCAAGCTATCTTAAGAAATATAGAAAGCTTAAGAAAGTTTTTTGATTTTTTGATTATTTGGTTTTAATTCTTTCTAACAGATGCAATTCATTCATATTGTACTTTTTGATTCAGGCCAATATCAAAGAAATAACAGTAGAAATTCCATCCAATTTACACAATGCTATTATTGGAGCTAAAGGACGATTGATTCGAGCTATAATGGAAGAATGTGGTGGTGTTATCATTCGATTTCCACCTGAGGGCAGCAGTAGTAATAAAGTTACTATTCGTGGACCAAAAGATGATGTTGAAAATGCACGGAAACAGCTTTTAGCCATGGCTGATGAAAAGGTTAGTTAGCTTATCTCATTTTTGTAGTAATCAAAACAGTTTCTATACATTTAAACTCTTGTTTTCATTATTAATTTAATATCTTATTGTTTTACTTGTAATTGTGAAAACAAGATTTTTTTATGCTGACAATTTAATGATTATTTTTCAGCAACTATCTGGTTTTACAGCTGAAGTTCATGCTAAACCTCAATATCATAAATTTCTTATTGGTCGTGGTGGAGCCAACATCAGAAAGGTAGGCTGAGCTATCTATATTATCATTATATTTTCATCTTTCACCTCACTTTCAGGAGCTTCTTATTAAAAATAAAAAATTGGTACAAATTAAACTTTTTTCAGGCATTGTATTATGATACAGTGCTCCCAATACTTAATACTTATCCAAAATGTTTAGTAACTATTATTTTTTCTTATTGCCAGGTACGAGAAAATTCTGGAGCTAGAATTATCTTCCCTAATAATAATGATAAAGATCAAGAAACTATTAGTATTATTGGTACTAAGGAAGCTGTTGCAGCCGCTCAAAAAGAACTGGAAGGTCTCATCAAAAATCTTGTAAGTAAAATTCCCATTGTATTATTGCTGAGCAAAATGAAAGTCGTCTAGCAATCAAAAAGATACTGTAATTGAAATATTTTCCAGAATATGTGGTGGAAATTGATTTCATAGATCTAAAACATTTTAATAAATGTAAATGTGTTTTGAGAATAGAATTGATATAATTCTAGATAGTTTCTAGTTAGAAAATAGCAATATAATACAGTATTGATCTATTGTAGGATGATATTGCTGAAAGTGACATGAATGTAGATATGAAACATCATCGCCATTTTGTAAGTCGTCGAGGTGAAGTATTGAGACAGATTGGTGAAGAATTTGGTGGTGTCACTGTCAGTTTTCCTCGTAGTGGTGTTAAAAGTGAAAAAGTTGTTATCAAAGGACCTAAAGATTGTATCGAAGGTGCTAAAAGCAAAATTCGGGAAATTGTCAAAGACTTGGTAAGTAATCCATTGACAATTTTACTACTTATAATTAATGCTCCCCACACTACACAACCATACTCTTTTTGGATCATTTTGTTATTCAGATGGTGGTCCTCTTGTTAAATATAGCTATTGAAATTTTTTTTTTTTATATAGGATGCACAAGTAACTGTTGATTGCATCATTGCTCAAAAATATCATCGAACTGTGATGGGTTCTGGTGGACAAAATGTGAAAAATATTTGTTCCAAATTCAATGTTGGTATCAAATTCCCAGACAAACCTAATAGTCCAGAAAAAATATTGAATGGCGGTAAGTCCTTAGAATTAATGCTTTTTCTTACAACTGAACAGAAAAGAGTAAATTTGTGTTCTGAATCTTAGAATTCAATTTGAATATATTAGAAATTATTTACTTAAATTGTTCTAGATTCTAGTGAAGATCCATTAGCTAATGGTGACTCCAATAATCATGAAGATGATGGGAAACCATTGAAAGCTGATGTTATTGTATTAACTGGTACACCAGAGAATTGTCAAGCTGCAGAAGAAGCTCTTAAAGTAAGTATATGCCTTTCAACCTGGGAGGAACTTGAACTGTTGTTCAAAATTAGTAAAAGATAGTGTAGGACCTTTAAACGTTATTAAAATTTATTCAATGATATATAATTAATATTTCAGGCTTTGGTACCAATAATTCAAGAAATGAATGTACCCTATGACTATCATCGATTTATTATTGGCCATAAAGGATATGATGTGAGAAAGATGATGCAAGATTATGATGTAAATATCTCCATTCCACCAGCTGAAGAAAATAGTGATACTATCAAAGTGACTGGTCCACCAGCTAATGTAGAGAAAGCTATTGAATGTATTGGGGAGAAGGTTGTACAACTAGATAGTCAAAAAGAGGATAGAGTATGTCATTTTTATACGCCCACTTGAAATGGGGGGCGTATATTGCCGTCACCCATGTCCATCCGTCGGTCCGTCCACAATTGCTCGTAAACACTCTACAAGGCACAATTCTTGACTGATTTTGTCGAAACTTGGTATGGTTGTTTGTAATCACCCAAGGATAAACCCTATTGAAAATCAGGCGAATCGAAAAATATTTACTGTGAGTTATTGCCCTTGTTCTTGAAACTTGGTGTGAGTGTTCATAATCACTCAAGGATAAACCCTATCGAAAATCAGAAAAATTTAAAAATATTTAGTATGAGTTATTGCCCTTGTTCTTGAAAACGCGTTCAATTTTAGCTTGTAAACACTCTAGAAGGCACAATTCTTGATGGATTTTGACAGAACTTGGTGTGAGTGTTTGTTATCACCCAAGGATAAAACCTATTGAAAATAAGAAAAATACAAAAATATTTAGTATGAGTTATTGCTCTTGTTCTTGAAAACTCGTTTAATTTGTAGCTCGTAAAAACTCTAGAAGGCATGATTCTTGCCAGATTTCTATTCAGATATCTATTCATAATACTAATTCTACCTCAAATATAACTGAACAAGTTAACCTTATCTAATAAGCGGGTCATTCCATGATAAACCATCCAAAAAAAGTAAAATATATATCCATGACCTCTGACCCAATTCGAATGTTTAGTTTCATCAAAATCGGTTATGGTCGGGTTATCCATTGAGTGATCTGACATGGAATGATCCAAGCCTTGAATTCAATATCTATTTATAAGTTTCCAATGACTGTTTGTAAGCATCGTAACTATGAAAACTGAAAAATATGTCTTGCCTTCCTTATTACTTTATTACTTATTACTTTTAATTTCTAGGCTTTAAGAAACTTTTCATTAGAGTTAGAAGTTAATCCAGCTTACCATCCTAAGATCATTGGACGTCGTGGATTAGTAATTAGTCGTATAAGACAAGATCATAATGTTAATATACAATTTCCTGATCGAGGAGATGAAGACCAAAGTCTCATTAAAATTGTTGGTTATGAGAAAAATGCTGAAGCTGCTAAAGAGGATATCTTGAAAATTGTTGAGGAACTGGTAAGATAATTATAGCTAGTATACATTCTCCAAATGTTAAACAGGGTAACAAAATTGCTAGGGACTGTAATCCTTTTGAAGGGTTGTAGGTGTTAAAAGTGAAATATTTTTCAAATAATAGAACAATTGACATTAAGAAGGGGGGGGGGGAGTATTTATAAAATAAAACACCAGGAAATATATTGTGGTATAACATACTTCTTTTATAACAAAGTACATAACGTTTCGTCTCATTTTTTGGTCATTGTAGGATAGTATGGTGACTGAACAAGTTACATTAGATCATCGTATACATCCAAGAGTTATTGGTGCTAAAGGTCGAGGAATTCGTAAAATTACTGAAGATTTTAAAGTTGAATTACGTTTTCCACGTGCTGAGGATCCTGATCCTGATGTAGTGATTATAAGTGGACCTGAAGAAGGTGTAGCTGACTGTAAAGACCATCTACTAAATATTCAGGAGGAATTTGTAAGTCAATATTTAATGCTACAAACTTTATGATGAGAAGGTAGTTTCTAATATTTAGATGCCTTTACCATCATAGATTCAGGTCAAAATCGAAACATTTTGTTGAAAATGTTTGTATGTTATTGAATTAAATGAAATACTTGGTTATATTGCAGTTACAAGATGTTATGGATCAAGAATACCTGGAAAACTTACAAAAACCATCACGTCATGATGAGAAAACTAAACGTAGAGGTAACCAACAACAACCTGGATTCATGGTTAAAGATGCGCCATGGGATAAGGCACCAGATACGGCTAGTACTGATGAATTTCCTTCTTTTGGCGCTGTTAATGCTCCTAAAGCAGCACATGCCTGGGGACCAAGCAGAAAACGTTAAATAATTAGGTTTATCATTGGAAATGGTAATGGGAATTTTTTAGAGTTCATATCGCTTTGTGACCTTGCCTGTCATTTGTCTTACTTTTGTTTCATTCCAATGAATGTCCATTTAATATATTTCTCATGCTTTAAGATTAATTTCTGTATAGCTGCGCCCTTATTTGACATGGGCCCCGCCAATACCCTCTGAAATATCAATTACAACTTTCATACAGTAAATCATTTTTGTTAACCTTGAAATATATTAAATTTCAACTTTTGTATGTCAGAAGGTACCCTGTAGTATAGTATATTATGTTTCTCAATAAATGCACGTTTATTTAACACATATTTCCAGGAAAGGGTAGTCTTTGTTAATATTGCATTTATTTGTCAATATATTCTATGCCATAATTTGTTTATACCATTAATAGTTTTATGGAAATAATTAATCTATTACCACTTAAATTAACTGCTGAATTGTTGTGTTGATTTCATATTTATTTGTCTTAAATAAGGCTTATTAGTCTAATCTGTAGGGATTATTATTGTCAGCAAAGAATATAGTGCAATCCCAAAAACACCACTGCGATTGTCATCTAAATTTAAATTTTAAATTTACAGCGAAATAGTTCTAAAATGAAATGTCTTAAAAGTATTTTTTGTATGAATGTGCCTTTTAATCTATAGAATGACTTAAACTCCATTGTGTTATTAACCAAAGATTTCATTTTTACTTCAGTGTATTCGGCTGAAAAAGAAAGCTGTATTTTCCGATAAATCCGGTTTATTTTGAATTACACAAATGAAATATTATTTCTAATCACATTAATGAAATAAACATTAATTCAATGAATTGTAATTAAGAGTTGTTAATTGTTTAAAATTTTTATTTGTTTTAGTTTATTTTCTTGTAGCTGTAGGGTTATTCTTTGTGACTCCCTTTAAATAATTAACTTTTTAGTTCCTGAAGTCCATTGTTCTACCCTAGTCACCAAGGCTTAATGATCTTGTTTTGAAAACTTTACAATTATTACAAAATGTTAAGAACATTTACACTTAAGGTATAGGGAAATAAATGTTCTTCATATCAGCTGATAATTATTTGGTTTCCTTTGTTTAGCTTTGCCTGTTATAAGTTATAATATATATTGGATTAGGTAAATATAGTTTATCATATTGTACATAATATTTTATCACCCATCTTTCAAGCAGCTCTATAAACTGAAATAATTTATCTGGTGAAACTATAATTTATATTGGTTGTGCTTGAAAAGTGGGATGTTTTCCTTGAAATAACCCCATATATAAATTGTCATCACTAACCTTCAAATTAATATATGCAATGATTCTGTTACATATAAAATTGGGTCAGAATTAGACTATATATCTGTAAAACCATTTCATTACATCAATAAAACCTGTTAATTTTTCAACATAATTCTGATCCAATTTACATGAGTGATTGTTATTTGTGAATCCATTCCATGCCATTATATCATGCATTTTACTTGATTTATGAGTTAATGTCTCTTGACCCTATATATATTATGATGTATTTTAAATCGCAAAGACCATCCTTTCCAAATTTCTCTCTTCTCTGATTTCCAACGATACAGGAGTATATAATTTGGCAATCAATTGTAAGTAATTCTCTGACTTACTTTATAACCCACCAAATTCTAAAGTTTTAATTATCAAGTGTGTTCATCAGAGAAAAGATATTATTTGGATGTTTACCATCAATCAAATCCTATCTTATTAATGGCATTGGTTCACATTCTATATTATAAAGTATAAAAAAAAAGGAAAAAAAAAAAAGAAATATTTGAAAGTGCAAATGTACCAAGACCAAATGTCAGTAAAATGCAAATAATAAACTGTGTTTTTATTTCATCTTTTCTACAAGTTCTCACTACAAAGTAATGTGCACCAAGGTCAATTTTGTTTTGACAGTTGCAGTTCCAACTCCTTCATTTTTTCCTATACATATGGACATTGGTTTACCCAAACAATGGGCAGAATTTATAAATCCCAAAAAATTGCTTAATAAAGTGAATACCAAGAAAGAAAAAACAAAGATGTCAAAAAATGAAATGAATGGAGTTTTATGTCCACTCCTAAAAGAAGTAAAAAAAAAACCCCACAAATTCTATAACTAATCCCTTCTTATGGCAGATTTCTAGATTCAACAGATGGAGTTCCTTGGCAGCTTAAAAAATAGTGAATACCAAAATATGTTACTCAGCAACGTTAGTATTAAATGGGAAACTGCATAGGCTTTTGCTCTAATATCATAGCAATAGAAAAATCTGTGTGGCAAAAGACAATTTATTCGATATTGAACAAATGCTTTTCTTTCAACATTTTATGGCCATAAAAAGTCTTTACTCAATGCTTCACCATTTAACTTCATAGACACTTTAATGTTTTAAGCCCAGTAGCTACTCTTATGGTATTCAGATAGCTAAACAACTGGTTGCCTAGCAAGATACGCCCACTTTTCTCATACATTTTCAGTATATCAAGGATGGTGACCTATCTGTGTCAAATCATACCCAAAATCTAATTTGTGCAAGATATTGTTGATTTCAACAAAGACACATTATTTAATAAAATTCTGACATAATCTGTCACCTCTATCGCCAACAAATTTTGATGAGTTTTTACTAAGTCATGGGCAATAACTCAACTTCTGTTGATCGAAAAATATTCAAATTAAATCTTGACTAAGATCTCATCATTATATATAATCATACCAAATTTCATTTAAATCGAATGAAACTGTACTCTATATTGTGTTCACAAACAGATTTTGACGCGTTTTTCATAAATCAAGGGCAATAACTCAAAAAGCGTTCATTGAAATATAGCCAACTTCAGACTTGGCCAAGATCTCATCATTATAAATATTCACACCAAATTTCATTTGACTTGGATGAAAACTGTTGTCTCTATTGTGTTCACAAACAAATTTTTACGCGTTTTTCAAGGGCAATAACTAAAAAACTGTTCATCTAAAAATCATGAATATCGAACTTATCCAAGATCTCATCAATATAAATGATCACATTAAATTTCATTCAGATCAGATGAAAACTGTAGTCTCTACCGCGTTCACAAGCCAATTTTGACGCGTTTTGGCTAAGTCAAGGACAATAACTCAAAAACCGTTCATCAAAAAATGGTGAATAGCGACTTGTCCAAGATCTCAATATAAATGATCATACCAAATTTCATTCGAATCAGATGAAAACTGTAGTCTCTATCACGTTCACAAGCCAATTGTGGACGGACAGACAGACCGACGGACGGACAAGGGTGACGACAATATACGTCCGCATTATAATGTGGGCGTATAAAGACTGTTGTCTCTAATGCGTTCACAAGCCAATTGTGGGCGGACAGGGGCGAAGACAATATACGACCACATTATAATGGATATGCATGTATGGTCATAAAACTTTACAAAGCATCTTATAAAAATTAAATAATGCACTCAAGGCTAAGCATTTTAATAAGCTAACATGTAACAATTATTTTATTTATTCTTTATACAAAAAAAATAATCCCCTTTCTAAGAGTCCTATAGTCATTATCTGTTGGAAAGCAGTAATAAAAAAAAAATAAAATTCAATTTGCAGATTCTTGAAGAAAATAATTTTTCAATTAAATTGTAAGTCTTCTGAAAAATAATCCCAGAAAATAATAATCCTGGTAATTTTGCAAATTAAAAATACTATAGAATTGACAATCTTGGTACATAAACATATTCCTAAAATGAATGTCTCGCTTGTACTTTTAGCACTTTCCAGTAACTTCGCATATTGAAAATACAATAGAATTACAATTTTGATCAAATTACAAACCAAATATGAAGTTAAAGGGGCATTCCGCTTTAATGTTAAACATTTTCATTTATAATATCAAAAACGTTAATTATTCCTGAAAATACTTATAAAGTATGCTATTTATATCTATGTATCTATTTGATCCAGCTGAATTTGTTTTAAAAGAGTTAATTAAAATTGATACTAAATGTTAATTAAGCAGTTTGACCTTGTTTCTTCAGAAAACAGACATATTTCTCTACAACTAGGCATTTATTTTACTCAAATCTGTAGTTTTTTTAACAGCTTTCAACAAGTGGTTGCCTAGCATGATACGCCCACTTTCCTGATACATTTTCAGTATATCAAGGGCAGTCACCTATCTGTGGCAAATCATACCAAAAATTTAATTTGTGCAAGATATTGTTGATTTAAACAAACACACAATATTTAATAAAATTCTGATATAAACTGTCACCTCTAACGCTAAGAAATTTTGATGTGTTTTTACTAAGTTATGGGCAATAACTCAAAGTCCGTTGATCGAAAAATTGTCAAATTTAATCTTGACTAAGATCTCATCATTATAAATGATCATACCAAATTTCATTTAAATCGGATGAAAACGGTATAGTCTCTATTGTGTTCACAAACAAATTTTCACACGTTTTTCATAAATCAAGGGCAATAACTCAAAAACCGTTCATCGAAAGATAGCCAAGTTAGAACTTGCCCAAGATCTCATCAATATAAATGAACACACCAAATTTCATTCGAATCAAATGAAAACTGTAGTCTCTATTGCGTTTACAAGCCAATCGTGGACAGACGGACTGACTGACGGACATGAGTTATGACAATATACATCCACATTATGTGGGCGCATAAAAAGCACAATGAATATTAAAAGGTTACCTAACGTTACGTAAAGTTTAGGAGTTAAAAAAATTAACAGCTGGATTTTTGTATGTGAAACTTTCAGATACATTATGGGATACATTTCTAAGGATTTTGATTTATAGTTTTCACAAATTTGAGCAAAAAGATTTTTCAGCCTACAAAAAAGCTGAATGTTTCTTTAAGTACTTTCCAAATTGTATAAACACTCACTTTCCACGTCACTTATTTGATTTTGATCGAAAATATTGGTATTTCTATTGGTAAAGATAGATTAAAATTCATACACAATATCTGTTCAAAAAAGAATCAGAGGCATTTACTAACTGGCACAGTAGTTTACAGTTTAAAAAGAACTATCATTTATTATTTGATGGTGAAACTAATGCAATTCTTTTTTCTATAACTTGACGTATATCACAGTCATTTGTAGATAGTAATGATGTATCTTGAATGTTTAATATAAACTTTTCAAATTCTTCATTAATTAAATGACTGAATTTAGAATGGATCTTCTTCATTTGATTAACCATAACTACACAATTTTCCATTTCAAACAAAGTTTTGTCAGTTAATTTTTGACAATTAAGTATTATTTCTTTATATGGAAAATCACCACTGATGTACTGGCTTTTGGAAGCTCGGTTTTTAACATTTTCAGTTGTATCTTTATATTCAATTATTTTATTTGGTTGTTGCAAAGGCCCTGGACATGTGGCATTTTCTTCAAATTTCTGCAGAAGTTTTATCCACTTACACCTTTCTTCATTAAGATCTTTGATTCTTTGAGTTCTGTATTCCATTGTCTCTACTTTCAAAGGCATTGCTCTGTCAATAATGGATGAAGATGAATCATTGTGACTCTCTTCAGGCTCTTCCTTTACTTTATTACTTGAACAACCCAATTTGTCTAAGATCTGGTTTACCATAGATTGAATGTTGTCTGAGAAAGGCGTAATCCCATCAGATTCGGAAAATTCAGAATTGACAGTCAAAACGGATGAGAGAATGTACGAGGTCGATTTTTGCAGTTCCGACTTAGAAACATTAAATGTTCTTGGTTTGGGGTTTTCATCACGAATCTCATTAGGTAGCTGGGAAATTCTTTTTGGGTGCTGACATGATCTCCTCCTTGAATCGGTGCTCATTTCTTTCAACTTATTTTCTTGGGGACAATAAAAAGCCGCCAAAAAATCAAACCAAAGTTTACGCACGCGCACATGAAAATACAACTCGCACTTGTTTCCGGTTGCAATCGTCAAAATAGTTCTCGGAATTTTGTTCAAAAATGCATTTGCAACTCCTCAATTTTGTTTTATATCCTATAGATTATTGAACTAAAATCTAAAATGCAATGATCAATTACTTAAACCATAAGAAATCGTGTCCCTATTATCTTCTACTGTGAATGAATATGAGATTACAATGACCCAACAACGAAGTAGTGCGGATTTGTTTGAAAATGGCTGCCACTTGTCGTGCCAAGTCTTGTATTTTTCTCTTTGAGGCTATTGACTTTTATTCGGAAGACTTTGTAACAGATGATTGTGTGAATGTAACCTTATTGGAGAAAGAAATGCTGCTTTAAGTTTTTTATTAGTAAAAAAAAGTGTAAGATAAAAATTTTTACTTTTCGATTTTCTTTCAAATTTAAACTATTTCTCACTTCATAATTCATTCATATTTCAATTTCGGTATCCAGTTAGGGTTATAGTCATAATGGCCCTAGACCAAAATTTGGCGTGATCATTTACAGCGGTGTAACCTATTTTCGTGGATATAAGGATTCAACACCGAATTTCGTCAAAGTTAAAAAAACGAATTTTTTTTTTTGTCTTAGATGTTTCCTCAGATATTCTACAAAATAATTAAAATTGGTTTATTTTATTTTCTTTATGAATCCTTCACTTTCACCCATATTTCATGAGCAACCAACTCGGTAACGGCGGCAGAATGCGTCACCTATTTTCATGTACAAAGTTTGATCTATAGATAAGTCAAGAAAGTCAAGAAAAACACGTTGTATGGATACCGGGTGATATAATTAGCTTCTCTTAGTATTTATCTTTAATATCAATTCATTATAACTAGTGACAATTCCTTCAAAGAACCACGATTTAAAAAAAAAATAGTGACTGACAAAATAAGATACATAGCGTGATTTATTGCTAAAAGTCACTGAAACAACATAAGAATATTGTCCACAGAATCCGCTAGTTGATCACGTGACTTCATTCGTTGGACTACATTCTAGCAGACGACACAATTCCGATTACTGCTTGGGATTATAAGGAAATTCAGGTGATAAAAAATGGTGACATTTGGTAATAAGTGAAATCCACCATTTTGTATTTGTCAAAGTATACATTAATACATTTTACCTTGCTTGAAACTACTGGCTTCGTTCTATCAAAACAAACTAAGGCCGAGGTCGCGCAAGGTTGCATATGTAAATTATTAATCATTTCAGGAAATCCACGAATAATAGGTTAGCACGAAATTAGGTTACTTGACTGTATATTGATGAGATCTTGGACAAGATTGAATTTGATTTTTTGATGAATGGTTTTTGAGTTATTGACTTGACTTAGGAAAAATGTGTTAAAATTTGTTTGTGATCATTAGAGACTACAGTTTTCAATTGATTTTAATGAAACATGAAGTGATCATGTATATTGATGCGATAATTTGATGTATTTGGGTTATTGAATTGATTTTTAAAAATTTGGTGGCATTTCTCAGCATAAATAACTGGCAGTAAATATCATTGAATTCAAACTATTAAAGTTTCTTTAATATGCGAAAATTCATACTTTAGTCACTAAAGACTGTTTTATCATTTTTGACAGCTGCCAGTGGGCGTATGTTACCTTGACTGACTGGCAAGCTATTTTTCTTTACAACACGTTTCCAGCTCGTAAACACTCTAGAAGGCACAATTCTCGATGGATTTTGAAGAAACTTGGCATGAGTGTTTGTAATTACTCAAGGATGTACCCTATTGAAAATCAGAAGAATCAAAAAATTTTTGGTATGAGTTATTGCTCTTGTTCTTGAAAGGTTTCTGAAATGGGTTGCTACCTGAAAAAAATGTTGGGAACCTCACCCTAGAAGGATTCAGACCTCATTCAAATTCATTTGTATAGCAGAGTTTTTTCTCTGTGATGTGAGCATACAAGAGACAAACTTCATCCCAATTAATATATATAGTTAGTCAAGGTGAAAGGGAACCACTACAAAAATATGGTAAAATGATGAATTGAAAAGTACCTGTTCATACTGACAAGATCTCTCTGGATCAAATGAAAGGTCTGGTTTGCATAATGTAAACATTACACAAAGTAAGGACATAAATATTTTGGCTCTTCTGAACTTGAAATGTAATAATGATAAAAAATACTTGCAAAAAATTATCATCATTCAGCTTAAAAAGTTTGACTTGTTTTAAAGACTTGAACTTCTAAAGAAATAGACCAAATGACTGGTTTATCTTATAGATTAATCTTAAAGCCACTAATCTCTTTTAAGTATATAATAAGCTCATGGTGTACATATCAAATTTGTAGATATTGGAGATAACAATATCATTAATTTACTATATGCTTAGACCTTATTCATGTCTGTTCAAACTATTAAATTTAAAATAACATTTCTTACATAATTTAGGGGATAAAAGAAGATGGAAGATATAAATGAATTTCTCCAACAACAAGGATTGACTCCTTCAAGTTCAGATTCAGAAAAACTACTTCATTTATGTACACAGTTACAGAAAACACAGGTAGGAAGACAATTCTGTTTCTTTTGAGTATAAGTTACCTTTCAGTGGTATTATTATGAATGTACTACATTATTAAACAACACAATGTACAAGTTCTGAGAGATTAACAACCTTTTATGTAGTAGTCCTATTTATTTCTATATCATGTAATGTTAGGAATTTGTATTCTGCTTTAGAGTACATATCATTAAGCTTTATTTACTAACCATATTTCATGTTTATTCTCAATGATTACAAATTGTAGATTTTATATGCATTTTTATACGGCCACATGAAATGGGGGACGAATATTGTTGTCCGCTCGTCCATCCACTATTGCTCGTAAACACTCAACAAGGCACAATTCTTGACTGATTTCGATGAAACTTGGTATGGTTGTTTGTAATCACCCAAAGATGAACCCTATTGAAAATCAGACAAATCAAAAAATATTTACTATGAGTTATAGCCCTTGTTCTTGAAACGCTCGTAAACACTCTAGAAGGTGCAATTCATGACGGATTATGATGAAACTTGGTATGAGTGTTCGTAATAACCCAAGGATGAACCCTATTGAAAATCAGAAGAATCGAAAAATGTAAGTTATTGCCCTTGTTTTTGAAAACGCTTTCAATTTTTAGCTCGAAACTTGGCATGAGTATCACCCAAGGATAAACCGTATTGAAAATCAGAAAAATCGAAAAATATTTATTATGAGTTATTACCCTTGCTCTTGAAAACGTGTTCAATTTTTAGCTCGTAATCATTCTAGAAGGCACAATTCTTGACGGATTTTGATGAAACTTGGTATGAATGTTCGTAATCACCCAAGGATGAACCCTTTTGAAAATCAGAAGAATTGAAAAATATTTGGTACGAGTTATTGCCCTTGTTCTTGAAAACGCTTTCAAATTTAATAGCTCTTAAACATTAAAAAGCATGATTCTTGCTGGATTTTGACAAAACTTGGTTTTATTATTCAGTCCTGCGCTGAAGATTTGCCTTCTAGGGTTTTCACGAGCTAAAAATTGAACACGTTTTCATGAACAAGCGCAGTAGGATAAACTCTATTGAAAATCTTCCAGAAGGCACAGTACTTGACGGATTTTGACGAAACTTGGTACTATTATTCAGCATCGCCTCAAAAAGTTCAAAAGAAGTGTATGTCTGAAAGTTGAATATATCATACTGGTAATTGTTACTATACTAACAAATATTTTTATTTAAAATCAAAGCTGCCAGTGGGCGTATATTACCATGCCTGGCAAGCTATCTTTTATTAAAACATTTATTGATTTTGACTAAACATTCTATTCTGTTATTATGTATATTGATGAATGATGAGTAGTTTAGGTACTGGAAATTGGAAATTCAAGAAAGTCATAAAATATCTATTATCTAATGTGAATTTTTGCACTTGTTCTGTTTCTAGGCTGAGGTTCAGAAAGCAGTTGAAAATGAAGAAACCTTAAAGAAATCCCAAGAAAATGAAATGAAAGAAGTAGAAGATTATGTTGAACATATCAGACGTCTTTCAGATGAAAGAGAGGCTTTGATTCAGGAACTAGAGGCTGAGAATGAGGTTCTAAAGAATAATGGGGAAACTAAAACTGGTTCAGATAGTTCTAATGGTAAGTTATCTGGAATAATAAAAGGTAGAATGATACAAATATTATTGTCCTGTATCAGTAGGATAGTAATTAATAGGGTTACGCGGTATACTGTAAAAGCTTTAAACCTTGTTCTTGAAAACGCTTTCAAATTTAGCTCTTAAACACTAAAAAGCACAATTCTTGCTGGATTTTGACAACACTTTTATTTTTTTTTTATTATTCAGTCTAGTGTTGAAGATTGAATATTTGCCTTCCAGAGTTTTCACAAGCTAAAAATTGAACAGGTTTTCAAGAACAAGGGCAATAACTCATACTCAATATTATTCAGTATTGCGCTAAAGAGTATAAAAGAAGTGTATGACTGAATATGGTTGAATATTTCATATACTGGTGATTGTTACTGTACTGCTAAATATTTTTATTCAAAATCAAAGCTGCCAGTGGGAGTATATTACCTTGTCTGGCAAGCTATCTTTTATTAAAACATTTATTGATTTTGACTAAACATTCTATTCTGTACAAAACTTGGTACAAGTGTTCGTAATAACCCAAGAATGAACCCTATTGAAAATCAGAAGGATCGAAAAATGTAAGTTATTGCCCTTGTTTTTGAAAACGCTTTCAATTTTTAGCTCGTTCACACTCTAGAAGGCACAATTCTTGACAAATTTTGACAAAACTTGGCATGAGTGTTTGTTATAACCCAAGGAAAAACCTTATTGAAAATCAGAAAAATCGAGAAATATTTAGTATAAGTTATTGCCCTTGTTCTTGAAAAAGCGTTCAATTTTTAGCTTGTAAACACTCCAGATTTTGACGGAACTTGGCATGAGTGTTTGTTATTTACCAAGGATAAACCCTATTGAAAATCAGAAAAATATTTAGTATGAGTTATTGCCCTTGTTCTTGAAGACGCTTTCAAATTTTAGCTCTTAAACACTAAAAGGCATGATTCTTGCCCTAAAGAGTTCAGAAGAAGTGTATGACTGAAGGTTGAATATTTCATACTGGTGATTGTTACTGTACTGCTAAATATTTTTATTCAAAATCAAAGCTGCCAGTGGACGTATATTACCTTGCCTGGCAAGCTATCTTTATATGTTACACATACCCTTTGGTTGGTCCTTCAGTACTGGTACCCAATTGCTATTAAACACTCCAGAAGAAAAATACATTGATGGATTGCGATCAGATAGGTTCAAATTGTTAATTGATAACATATCAAATCAAAAATAATACAAAGGGAAATGTATTAAGAGAAAAATTTGATTTTCTAGGTACTAAGTTGAAAAATGAAACCAAAGAAATGTTAATACAGCAAGGTTTAGATGAAATATCAAACTCTACTGTGAATGAACAGATAGCTTTCTTACTAGCAGAACGAGCTCGGTTATTAGATGAGTTAGAATCAGAAGAGCAACAACCAACAGCATCTGATGCTGATACAGCAAGAGAATTGAAACAAATACTAGAACGTGAACGTTCAACTTTTGATGAACAGTTAACACACCAGAGAGCATCCTCAACATTATTTGAAGAAAAATTAAAACAAGAACATGAAGAAGAAATTCATTGTTTAATGGAAGAAAATACACAATTAGAGGATGATTTAGCAGATGAACAAGCCAAGGTTAGTAAATATATTATTTCAGCATTTTGTTACAGGATGTAACTTTGCTTTACTTCAAGCTAAGTATATAATGACGATATTTTGTTAAATAGGTGAAAGCATTGAATAAAGAATTAGAAAGATTGAAAGATGATTTAGAAACAGAACAAAGGTTGCGTATTAAAGAACGAGAAGAAAGAGAAACAAAAGAGAAAGATGATTCACCTAAAGAAAGTTAGTATTTTTAACAACTTTATTATCTGATAGATATTTTTATACGCCCACACTAAATGGGGGGCGTATATTTTCGTCCGTCCATCCATAATTGCTCGTAAACACTCTACAAGGCACAATTCTTGATTGATTTCGACGAAACTTGCTATGGTTGTTTGTAATCACCCAAGGACAAACCTATTGAAAAACCGAAAAATTGAAAAATATTTAGTAAGGTATGAGTTATTGCTCTTGTTCTTGGAAACGTGTTCAATTTTAGCTCGTAAACACTCCAGAAGGCACAAATCTGATTTAGATGAAACTTAGTATGAGTGTTAGTAGTAATCACCCAAGGATGAACCCTATTGAAAATCATAATAATTGAAAAATTAGATATAAGTTATTGACCAGTTCTTGAAAACGCTTTCAATTTTTATCTCGTAAATGCTCTAGAAGGTCAATTTATTGACAAATATTGACAATACATTTGGTGAGAGTGTTTGTTGTCACCTAAGGATGAACCCTATTGAAAATCAGAAAAATCGAAAAATAATTGGTATGAGTTATTGCCCTTGTTCTTGAAAATGTGTTCAATTTGTGGCTTGTAAACTTTCTAGAAGGCACAATTCTTGATGCATTTTGACAAAACTTGGTGTGAGTGTATGTAATCACCCAAAGATGAACGAAAATCTAAAAAATTGAAAAATGTTATTGCCCCTGTTCTTAAAAACGTGTTTAAGTTTTAGCCTGTAAACACAGATTTGAAACTTGGTACTATTATTCAGTATCGCCTCACAAAAAGTGTATGTCTGAAGGTTAAATATTTCATAGTGGTAATTGTTACTGTACTGCCAAATGCTTTTATTTCAGATCAAAGCTGCCAGTGGGCGTATATTGCCTTGCCTGGCAGGCTATCTTTACTAGTATTAGTAAAACAGAAAGTTTCATGGCTGGTGTTCTTCACTTACTAAGTGCTCGTATTGTGCCGCTTTCATTCAATTACAGGTGTAAGGTTTAAAATTATATTCCAGGTCCTAGAACATTATTTAACCGCCCCCCTAGTCCAGCCCGTACATCCAGTGATTTACAATTGCGTAAAATAATAGAGGACAAAACTAAATTAGAAGCTGAGTTAATATCGCTACGTTCACAGATTAGAACATTAGAGGAAGAAAAACGTAATAAAGATAATGAGGTGAGATTTATATTCACTGATAAATTTAACTTATATCATAATAATGATGATCTGTATTGAATTTAGTTAGTGATAATCAGAAAGTGCTTCAAAAACATGTAAATGCTGAGCTATATTTTTACAGGATACAATTCTTGATAGAATATCTTCAATTTTTATGAGTATGCTTGTATCAAATTATCCATTTCAACTTTAATGGTGATTCAATATTTCTTAAGATATGATTTTACTTTTTTTTAGGTTTCCAAGACATTCTCTGATTATGAAAAAATTAGGATGGAAAATGAAAGATTACAAGTTAAAAACAGTACATTAAAAAGTCATCTACAAGAAACCGAATCTCTGCTAGATGAAGCTGATGTAAGGTTTATAATTCAATATTTTTTTTACTGACATTCAATAAGAAATATTTAAAAAAAAAAAACTGGAGTGAAGCTTGATTTTTATACGGCGCATATTGCCATCACCCATGTCCGTCCGTCCATCCACAATTGCTCGTAAACACTCTACAAGACACAATTCTTGACGGATTTTGACAAAACTGGGTATGAGTGTTCGTAATCACCCAAGGATAAACCCTATTGAAAATCAGAAAAATCGAAAAATATTTAGAATGAGTTATTGCCCTTGTTCTTGAAAACGCATTCAATTTTTAGCTCGTAAACACTCTAGAAGGTACAATTCTTGGTGGATTTTAACGAAACTTGGCATGAGTGTTCGTAATCACTCAAGGATAAACCCTATTGAAAATCAGAAAAATCGAAAAATATTTAGAATGAGTTATTGCCCTTGTTCTTGAAACGCATTCAATTTTTAGCTCGTAAACACTTTAGGGCAATATTATTCAGTATTGCCCTAAAGAGTTCAAAAGAAGTGTATTACTGAATGTTGAATATTTCATACTGGTGATTGTTACTGTACTGCTAAATATTTTTATTCAAAATCAAAGCTGCCAGTGGGCGTATATTACCTTGCCTGGCAAGATATCTTTTATATATATATTTACATTGTAGACTACAGTGGAAAAATTAACATCCAGCAAAGATAGTTTAACTAAAAAATTAGCTGCCATGGAATTAGAATTACAGACATTACAAGATGATGCTGAGAAAAGTTCCAGTTTAAAGGAAATGGTGGATGAATTTTCTGTAGAGAAAATACAATTACAAAGTGAAATTGACACTCTAACAAAGCGTTTAGAAAGTGCCTTATCTGCAGAAGATGAACTTTCTCAGGAGAAAATGGAGTTGATGTCATCGCAAGAAGACATGACTTTAAAAGTACAAGCTGCTCTCGAAGAATTGAATAAATTAAAATCAGAGCGTGAAACACTCAGGGAAGAAAACTCAGTGTTAAATGTTTCTCAAGAAACACAGATAAAAACTTTGAATGAGTTACAATGTGAAGTAGGAAGTTATAAATTAGACTTGAGTAAACTTTGTGATGAGAAAAATAACCTTGTAGAAGAACATAAAAATAGTATTAATAAAATACATCAAAATCATGAACAAAAATCCACAAAACAAGAGGTGAACTTTTTATATAACCTCCAATTTTTATACGCCCACATCTTTCTATGTGGACGTATATTGTTGGCACCCCTGTCTGTCGGTCTGTCGGTGGATGTCATTGGATCTAAATCGAAAGGTTTGAGAAAGTTTAGTTTACTTTTGATTAAATTTAAGGCTTTTTCAAGATTTAAGCCTCTTACGTCAGTTTTGAGGAGTTGTCGCCCTATACAGTAAGTGCTTCTATCAACATCAATTGCTCGTAAACACTCTAAAAACTAGAGTGTTTGAAGGAATCAAATGAAATTTGGTATGTGCATACATATTCATGAAACGAAGATCAAGTTCGAATTTGAGCTATTTTCGAGCGTTAGGAGCAGAGTTATTGCCCTTGACCAAAATCTTGAATATGCTATGACTCTCTTAGCTTTTAACCGATTTTGATGAAACTTAAAATGGATGTTTCGTTTTTACCATCCACATGCCGTGGTGGGCGTAAATTGGCTGTGGTCCACTATCTTTATAAATGAATGTATTTAAGTTTTCAAAGACATGTATTACCCATAGAATGTTTACAACCTTGGATATTTTACTTGAAGTAGAATTCAATAGAAATAAAAGTACTAATAGGTTAAACTTAACTTGATTTATGCTATTGATCACCTGTTAGTTTCTGTCAGGATTTTCAAGGTAAATGAATCATTTGAACTAATTTGACTTGTAAGGAAGTGCACAATAATGTACCGGTACTCATGTTATTAACCACATATTATATTTTAGCTAATAATACAACATATGAGAGACCAAAATAAGAAACTAACAAGTCAATTGGATGATTTGAAAGATGATATGAAAAAATTAAAAGAAGAACAATCTGAACTAGTTGAGGAAAAGGTAGGTACTGTAAGTGGACAAATCTTTATGACATTATTTTAGCAATGTCCCATTTTGAATATCTTAAAAATGACTATGAACATGATGATATTTATTTGACAATGAAAAGAAGGATTTTGTCAACTAAAATTATGTATAAAATACAGCAGTTATATATCAATTCCCAGAGAAATAAGTAAAATATTCAAGTTCATAATTTATTGAAGCTATGAATCCAATCACAGTCACACAGCTTTCTTATAATACACATTTCCATGTGGACGTATATTGCCATCGCCCTTGTCCTGCGGTCCATCCATCAGTCAAGTTCGAATTTGGTAATCATCAGATGAATAGTTTCAGAGTTATTGCCCTTGACTTAGAAATAATGGGTCAAATTTGGCTTGTAGACATGATAGAGACTGCAGTTTTTTTTTTACCTTAATGAAACTTGGTATGATTGTATATGTTGATAAGATCTCAGTTAAGTTCGAAATTGGTAATAATCAGATGAATGGTTTCAGAGTTATTGCCCTTGACTAAAAAAAAATGCGTTATACAGTTTTTATCCGATCTTCATTAAACTTGGTATGCATGTATGTATTGTTAAGATCTCGTTCAAGTTCAAAATTGGTAGCAATCGAATGAAGAGTTTTGTAGTTGTAGCCCTTGACTTAGTAATAACACATTAAATTTGTCTTGCAGGCACGATAGAGACTACAGTTTTTATCCAATCTTGATGAAACTAGATATGCACACATGTATAATTGATGGGATCTAGGTCAAGTTAGAAATTGGTAATATCAGATGAATAGTTTCGGTGTTATTGTTCTGTGTCATTGCGATGAGGCATTGTTCATGTTTGAATTTGATGATAATTTTTTGAACTGTTTCAGGTTTTTGCCTTGACTTATAGATGATTTTAAGATTATTTGAAAATTCATTATTAAGCCACAAAAGATTTTATTATTTTTGACAGCTGGTAGTGGGCATATGTTACATTGCTTAGCAAGCTGTCTTATAGTTATTAATGAAATTATTTTTCTAATTAGAAATCTCTGCAGATGTCTTCCCAAGAAGCTGAAATGAGGTATGTAAAAGTAATAATACCGTTAAATATAAAAAGATAATGGCCGGTATGCACCAAATGAAATTAAGCCTAATTTAATTCTATTCTGACCGAATAACATTAACTTTTGATTTAATTCTATATTTTGTAGAATTACCTTATATGTATTTAAAAATTGGCTAATTTAATGCTTAACTTAAAGTTGATGGAGACCAGTTTTAACTTTTAATTCTATTTGTAAATCAGTAGGAATTCTTTTTGTGGCTCTTCAATGTTTCAAGATGGACGATTATTTCAACGATATAGATGAACTTGGTGAAATCAACCGTGTTATTCCCATCAATAGACATGTCAGAGATCTATAGAGTCTATAGAGTTTCGGACTACAAGACATACAGCAGTGATTAAAATGTTACAGTACAGATAAATATATTTAGTTAATTGTTAGTTGGTGCATACAAAAAAATAGAATTATCTTTCAATACATTTAACTAAATCTATTTAAGGTTTAAAATAATTCTATCCTTCTTAATTTGATTTTATATGGTGCATATGGGCCAATATGATTAATAGAAGTTCAACACTGTCTTCAGTAGCCCACATTCATTTCATTTCATTTTGAAAGTTCTACTGTAGCAAGAGTTAAGAGAATACAGCCTGTGAAAAGTAAGGTGACTTGCAGTTAGAGATGAGAAAAAATTGCAGTTGTCCAGGCAAAATCTCACTGCATGATATTGCCTGTTTTCATCACTCCTATCAGGGAAATAAAAAAAAGCAATAGCACTGATGTCAGGACATAAGTATATATTGAACATTATTTTTCTTGTAGACATGATGTTGAAATAGAGGATTTACAAACAAAACTAAAATTAACTCTAGAGGAACTAGGTAAATCAAAATCTGTGATAGAACGAACTCTAACAGAAAAACAGGATCTAGTCAGTCAATTATCCAAATCCGGTGAATTAGATGTACAAATTACAAATACAGTTGAAGATTTACAATATGAACTGAGAGAAAAAAGAAAACAGGCAGCACTGTTTGAAGATGAGAGAAATCAAAGAATTGACTTAGAGAAAAAACTTTGTGAATTCAATAATTTAGAAAGTGAAATATTTACTGTACGAGAAGAATGTGAAAATGAAAGTAGGTTGAAAATTGAAATGATGGAGAAATTCAAACAAATGGAAGAATTATATGAAGATCAAAAGATAGAACTTGAAAGTGTCAAAAAAACATTAGAAAGCAAGGTAAGAGATAACAGGTATTCTATAAAAGGAATTTAAACAAAAATCTTTCAGAAAAGTATTAACCCAAAATCTTTTCATTTTTATATGCCCACATGAAATGGGCGGCATATATTGCTGTCACCCATGTTGTCCATCTGTTGGTTGGGCCATCGGTCCGTCCACAATTGCTCGTAAACACTCTACAAGACACAATTCTTGACGGATATTGACAAAACTTGGTATGAGTGTTCGTAATCACCCAAGGATGAACCATATTGAAAATCAGAAGAATCAAAAATATTTAGTATGAGTTATTGCCCTTGTTCTTGAAAACGCGTTCAATTTTTAGCTCCCGAACACTCTAGAAGGCACAATTCTTGACGGATTTTGATAAAACTTGGTGTGAATGTTCGTAATCACCCAAGGATGAACCCTATTGAAAATCTGAAGAATTGAAAAATATTTAGTATGAATTATTGCCCTTGTTCTTGAAAACGCTTTCAAATTTAGCTCTTAAAGACTAAGAGGCATGTTTCTTGCTGGATTTTGACAAAACTTCGTTTTATTATTCAGTCCCGTGCTGAAGATTGAATATTTGCCTTCTAGAGTTTTCACGAGCTAAAAATTGAACAAGTTTTCAAGAACAAGGGCAATAACTCGTACTCAATATTATTCAGTATCGCCCTAAAGAGTTCAAAAGAAGTGTATGACTGAAGGTTGAACATTTCATACTGGTGATGTTACTGTACTGCTAAATATTTTTATTCAAAATCAAAGCTGCCAGTGGGCGTATATTACCTTGCCTGGCAAGCTATCTTTATATGTTACACATACCCTATGGTTGGTCCTTCAGTGCTGGTACCCAATTGCTATTAAACACTCCAGAAGACAAATACATTGATGGATTGCGATCAGATAGGTTCAAATTGTTAATTGATAACATAATAATAACATAAAAATAATACAAAGGGAAATGTATAAAAGAAAAATTTGATTTTCTAGGTTCTAAGTTTGCTTGCCTGGCAAGCTATCTTACTCTATTTCATAAAACATGCAGACATTAGGAGATATGGTAACCAATTGTTGAATTTGATTTGATTTTAATTCTAATTTAGATAAAAAGCTTAGAGTGTAGAAATGAAGAATTGGAAGAAGATTTATTTAAAATAACTGATGAATTACAAACAGCTCAAGAAAACTCTGTCAAGGTAGTTGCTTATACTAAAATACATTGAGGAAACTGTCCAAAAAAAAATTCAAGTATTGAACGTTTTAAACTGTTATTTTTCATTTGTGTTTAGGCAGAGAAGGAGCTTCAAGCTACCAAAGTAGACTTACAAGAAAAATCAGCAGTGATGGTGGAAAGTAGTAAACCGCTTCATAGTGCAATACCTAATAGAGTTTCTGATAATCTGCTTACAGGAAATAAGGTAATTGTCCACTTTACTAGAACTATTCCATTTATTGAGAGATTAGTGTGGTACTGTAACGATTAGTTAATTGTCTGCAGTGATAAGCTATGACCATAAGTTATTACTTATTTCTTGTGATTTATTAGGTGGAAGAATTGGAAACGCAGCTAGACATGCAGTCAAAAGGAATAAAAAGTTATCAGAAACAGATAAAAGAGTTGAAGGATAAATATGATAACCTTACAAGTGAAATGACTACAGTAAACCAGGAATTAGATTTAACTAAAAGCACAATGAATTCTTATAAAACTAAAATTGAGAAGTTAGAAATTGAATGTGATACAACACAGGAGTTGATGACATCTCAATCAAAAGTGAAAAAAGTAAACTTTCAAAATAAACTCTTCCAAAAGAATGGTAGTGATGAAACAGATGATGGCGCTCATTCTAATAATGTAGATATTGACACTTTGATGATAGAAAACCAGAACTTATCCCAAACTTTACACTCCGTACAACATGAATTGCAGCAGACACAACAAGCTCTTCAGCAAGAAAAAACAACTAGTAATATCAAGCATCAGACCACAATGAATTATTCTGAAGAAGAAAGACGGACACATCTTAATCGAATCACATCTCTGGAAGAAATCTCTCGCCAATTAGAAATAGATAACAGAGATATGGCTAAGAAGGTATTTTTTTTTAATTGTCAATTATTATATTGTGTGTCATATTCTAATTGTTGTGGACACGATAGAGAGTTGGTTTCTGATGGATTTTGACAAAATTTGGCAAACAAGAATGAACCCTATTGAAAATCACACAAATCGAAAAATATATGAGTTAGTTCCCTTGTTTTTTAAAGCACTCTCAAATTTTAAATTGTAAAAATTCTAGAAGGCACATTTCTCTACAGTTTTTAAGAAACTTGTTGAAATTGTATATAATCACCCACGGATAAACCCTATTAAAAAAAAGAAAAAAATCAAATATTATTTGATACTAGTTACTGCCCTGTAACTAGCATTACAATTGTCAGGCTATCACAATTGTCATCGCTAATTTTACTTATATGATAAGAATTTCTGCAGATTATCTAAGCCTTATTGTTATATAACTTAGTACTTCTATCATCAAGTACAATGGGAATAAAAGCTGAAAAAGGCATTTTCTTGCTTTTGTCGGGAGACAGTAAGGTTTGATACAAACATTTCTGTAGCATTTTTCCCTTTGACAATTACATACATGTATTTACTTTAAAGTTATCAGAAACAATGAGTGGAAGTGAAGAATCTTGTGACTCTTTACAAAGAGAACAATTAAGAAGTAAGTAATGTATCTTTTGTGCATGGAATAGAACTTGTTTTTAACACATAACCTTGAATTATTACTAAAATTTGCTTATGAGCTTTTCACTTATAATATTCATCACCAAATATTGATGTTGTACTTGATTGCTTTTGTATATACATCTGCATGACACATGACAGAGAATCCTACGAAAGTTGGCAAGTGTATAGATTTTGAACTTATAAAATTACCTTTGCATGACAGTAGCATGTTTCAACCTAATTTTAGATACAAATCAGCTGGGTAATAGACAGAAAAAACAACTTGAAGGTGAATTAGAAACAGCTAATAGACAGATCAGATCTTTAAGAGAAGACCTACATCAAGAACAAGCTAAAGTTTTCCGACTAGAGGCAGAGAATGTAGGACAAAAGGTTTATTCAGATGTAGATATTTATTTTTGTATGCTAGATGTGTGTGTTATATTAACATCACATTGAGTGTTTACAATAGCAGATACAAAAACAATTTATACAATATCAAAGTTTGAAATATTATTTAACTCATTGAGTACTACTTTACATGTACATGAAAAATATACATAATTTTTCAGAAAATTATTGAAATTAGAAATGAATGAATGGAGTTTTACGTCCTTAATGGAATTAGAGGCTACAAATATTCATATATGTACATAATATAATATTGTATTCAAATTATGTGATCTTTTATTTTTCATTCCAAACACTACCTATTTCTAGTCAAACACCTGTATTTTTATACGCCCACATGAATATGTGGTCGTATATTGTCGTCGCCCCTGTCCGTCGGTCCGTCCGTCAACATTTCTTGTGAGCACTATAGAGACTACAGTTTTTATCTGATTTTGATGAAACTTGGTGTGATGCTTTAGATTGATAAGATCTCGGTCAAGTTCGAATTTGACATATTTTCGATGAACGGTTTTTGAGATATTGCCCTTGACTTAGAACGCCTTGAAATTTGTTAAAAATAGTTCGTGAGCAGGATTGAAGCTACAGTTTTCAACCGATTCTGATTAAACTTGGTGTGATCATTGGAATTGATAAGATCTCGGACTAGTTCTAACTTGACGCATTTTCAATGAACGGTTTTTGAGTTATTGCCCTTGACTTTGTTAAAAAGGTTGAAATTTGTTAAAAATAGTTCGTGAGCAAGATTGAAGCTACAGTTTTTAACCGATTCTGATGAAACTTGGTGTGATCATTGGAAATTATAAGATCTCGGACAAGTTCTAACTTGACACATTTTCGATGAACGGTTTTTGAGTTATTGCCCTTGACTTTGTTAAAATGCGTAGAAATTTTGTTAAAAATAGTTTGTGAGCAGGATTGAAGCTACAGTTTTCAACCGATTCTGATGAAACTTGTTGTAATCATTGGAATTGATAAGATCTCGCACAAGTTTTAACTTGATGCAATTTTGATGAACGGTTTTCGAGTTATTGCCCTTGACTTTGTAAAAACGCGTCAAAATTTGTTCGTGAGCACAATAGAAGCTACAGTTTTCAACCGATTCTGATGAAACTTGGTGTGATCATTGGAATTTATAAGATCTCGCGCAAGTTCTAACTTGATGCATTTTCGATGAACGGTTTTCGAGTTATTGCCCTTGACTTTGTAAAAACGCGTCAAAATTTGTTTGTGAGCACAATAGAAGCTACAGTTTTCAACCGATTCTGATGAAACTTGGTGTGATCATTGGAATTGATAAGATCTCGGATATGTTCTAACGAGATATTTTTGATGAACTTTTTTGAGTTATTGCCCTTGACTTTGTAAACATGCGTCAAGTTGTTTTTTGCCCTTGATTAAAGCTGTGTGATTTAATTGTTTGTTGTATTTGGGTTGTTGATATTGATTTTAAAATATTTTGTGGAATTATTCAGCATGAATAATTTCTTCAATATGAGACAATTCGTACTTTAGTCACTAAAGACTGTTTTATTATTTCTGACAGCTGCCAGTGGGCGATGTTACCTTGCAACTCAAGCTATCTTGATATTTTGTATCTGTTATTGTGTGAGGGTGTTAATAAAGGGTCTGTATGTGTTTTTTCATTTCAATATTAATTTCTCTCATTCACATTGATAAACCTTTTCTGTGCAAGAATTTATTTGCATTTCATTCATTTCTGTGAATTTGGCAGTTTCGTATAATTGGCTTGAAAATTATTTTGCTTTTAATACCTGATTGTATTGTACTAAAGCTTGTGGTGACTGGCATTATGGAACATATTAACGATAATTAAAGTTTAAAAGTTTTATTGAAACTTACCATTTAAAAAATCCTTTCTTGTTATCAAGAATGGAGATAATTTTTATTTATTTTTCTGGTTACTTACTTAAAACTAGTGTTGGACCAATTCTTATTGTTTATTGATGGGATGAAGGGCTCAATAGTTTTAATAACTTATAATTCCATCATCTACCAACTTAAAATTGTGGAATACAAAGTGAAGTTATTTACAACCTAATTTTGAATTATTGTGCTATTGTAGGCAAAGTATGACAGTATAGTTAAAAGACTAGAAACTGAAGTAGCTGATATGAAAGAATTTCATCGTAAAGAAATTGATAGTATTACAAGTAAATTAGACACAGCTCTAACAGAATGTCAACAATTACAGATACAAATACGAGAGAGAGAACAGGTAAACAAGACACACATTTACATTCCTCTATTAACTCTTAGTAATCAGGTTCAGATTTTCATTAAAATAGCACAGGTATACAAATTTATGAAATCGTGTTGAATTTTAACATGATAGAAACCTATAACTTGAATATTTAGTAAGCTTATGTGGTTAATATATGAGGTCATGTAACAACTTTTGTTGTTTGAGACCATCTAGATCACTGTTACATCAAACTAGAAACTTGATAATAAGGAACCAATATATAATTTAAGAGAAATCATCTTTGAATGTGGCATTTTTGGATTTAACCCACTATCTATAACAAATGGACAAAAAAATTAATCACAAATTTGTTTTATGCTTCATATTTTACTGTGTGAAAGTATATCTACAGTATTTATGATAATATGTCAGTTTATATTTAGTGACTTTGAGGATGATACTTTATCTTACCCCATGAAGTATGGCGCTGTATCTGGTTCAAAATAGGATCCAAATCAGATTGTATAAATTTCTAAATGTAGAAATGACTAATCTTATTAAATCGAAGTAATTTTACATATAATATCTCTTTCTAGTACATAATTTAGACCGTAGACTTTATAGAATAAAAATTATAAAGTAATTATCAAATGCACTGCTAATTGCTTTGTTTTTGTTTTGTTTCGTTTTTTTTAGAATTCTTCCCAGAGCGCCCAGCCTTAACTACACATGCTAATATCTACTTTTTCGATTTCCATATAAAACTATAAAAAAATATTACGCATTGGTTTCTAACTGGAAATGAAGTAGGGCAAAAGCATTAAGCTCTAATTTTGAATTTTAAAATTTTGGCTTTTATTGCTGACTTTTTGATTTTTAATTTTTGAGGTTTTTCTAGCTTCTACAATTTTTTAATTTAATCTTACTGGTAGATAGACATTTTGATTATGAATTAAAATCAATTTTCAAAGTTCTGATATCACTTTCTGGTTTTATTTTTTCAGTAATTGAAAAATATTATAAGGTCCATATCTCGTGACCTTGACCTTGTGACCTGCACATATATTGTTGCTCCTGACGAGATCAATCTGATGGTACATTCACTTTTGATTTGTAATGTAAATATCTGATTAAACAGCCATTAGAAATCGCTTATATTTTGAATTAAAAGATCTTTGTCTGTGACCTATTTTACATATAAAATTTGAAAATTTTGTACTGATTTCTATAGTAACTTTGCATGATTTGACATTTGCCGTAAAATCTTAAACCATTAAAGTGAAACTATCAATATCTTGTGATGTATTGATTTTAGATGCTTGAAATTTTGAACACAACTTAACATTTTACACATTATAACAGACATGACAACATTTTTGGGATGGGCGTGGCACATGCGAACTAGATTTACATTTACCTTATTCATTTGCAATTTATCATAACTTGCACAGTCTGTATTTGTCACCGATAATATTTTGCAGGAAAATGGGTCACTACTTTAGCCAATATGATATAAAGATAAATCTGTTTGGGCTTTGTACTTTTAAAAAAGGAATAAGTTTTACAATTGACTTAATTTTTGATCTCTAACATGGATGACCTTGACCTTTCTATGATCAATTCATTCTTTGATCTTTGACGTCCGACATCTACTTCCGACATCTACTCCAGTTTCATATGCTTCTGAAAACAGGAATTTTCAAAATTTTTTCATGTCTCGCGACCTTGACATTTGGTGACAATGTGACATGGACAAAAGTCATAGCCCTTGACATAATCTATCACAGGGTGCCTTTAATTTTGTTGTGCGATGTATTACTATGAAGAAGCTCTGGTCTTGTGAATCAATTCAGAGAAATGCAATGCACTGCTTCAGTGTTGTAACTTTTCAGCTCTAGTTTTTGTATTGTTCATAATTTGACATTAGTAAAGATAATCTGATATCTTGTAGGAAATAGTTACTCAAGAAAATGAAACTGCCAGGATGAAGTCTTTGTTAGATAGGTCTGAAGCTCAAATAGAAACTGAAATTAAATTACGTAGTAGCATGGAGAATAGAAATAAACAACAAGAACAGGAAATGATTAAGGTTGGTTATTGTCTGATAGTTGTTGGAAATGATATTCAGTTCTCTAGTCAACCATATAGACATTATTTTATCAACTATTAATTATATATTTGTACAGGAGATTATTAAACTACAATATTTTATACATTATTCTCTGTAAAATTTGTCATGTTTTACAAAACCAGAAAGAAACATTGGAAGTTTTAAGTAGTCATGCTGCACATTTTATTTCCACTAAATCTGATGTGAAATTGCTCAGTCATTTGTCAAGGGTCTATTGAAAGACAGAATGAAGCCTGTCAAAATTGTTTTTTTTTTGGCTTGAAAACAATTTGGTCAAATAATATTTTGAAGGACAATGAATTACTCTTTTTATTAGGTTTGGACTCAAGTGCGATCTATGATGGAAAAATGTTCTAATTTAGAAAATACAAAACATTGTCTGGAAGAAGAGTTGAGTCGTGTAAGTTTATATTTTATATTTCAAGGATCAGGATTATAAATATATTAAATAATTATAAAAGATAAAACATTTGCAGACCATCAAATTTTAAAATTTCATTTCACACTGTGTATTTATAGTTGACCTCGTCTTCACGCCAATCAGAAATGATTAATGTCCAGAAATCAGCTAATCAAGAAGCTAATATAACATCATTAGAAATGAGATCCGAACAAGCAGAAAGAAAGGTAAAATCTATTCTCAGAACAACAATGTCAATATCCAATGACATATACCATAACACAAATTTTAGTTAAGTCTGAAGAAAAATTTTCTGTATAGATATACATCAAACTTTTAAAATTTTCCTATAGTCCTCTATACGGGATGTAAGTATTAAATGAATAGGAAAAAAAACTTCCTTTTACACTCTAAGTAACTGACAAGCACTCTATATCTTTAAATGTGTTTTCTTTCAAAATAGAGAATTGTTTTGACTCCTTGTTCATGCACTCTCTTCTCTTTATCTTTTGAAATTAGAAGCAAAATTCCAACATGATCATATTTCTGCTGTTGAATACTTTACTACTTAAATAAAAAATATTTCCTTCTTTTTTTTATCTTTCTTGTATTTCATGTGTATGTAAAGTTGATATTATTGGTATTTGATTAGTTGTCAAAAATGAAAAGTTAAAATACATTTAAAAGTATTTTGGGACTAGATATAATGCTTTTAATCTGTTGAAAGTTGTAAACATGCATATAGAATATAATCTATATTATTGACAGAACATTACTCTTTATGTTCTATTTGGTGATATAAAGCTGATATCAGCTGATATAACTGATTGGATTAAAGGAAATATGTGTCAAGCTGGTTATATCAATAGTAGAGAATTAGTTTAATATTATTATTAAATATTACTATTATTTAATATTATTATTTCTATTCATTTTGATCTATTGAGATATTTTAATGGACATTACACTGAAGTTTTGTTGTTATTTGTAAAAAATTTTATATTTCTTAAATTCTGTGTGATACTGTCAACTAGTTTTGTCTCTGTTGTCAAAATTTGACTTCATCAAATAGAAAGAAATACTGAGTATGTTTCTAAATATAGATAAATGACCTGTCAAATTTCTAGCTCTCAAAGTCCTTATTGTTTACAAGGTTTTGATTTGTAGTGATATCCCTTTAATCTTATTTAATAACTGGTGCAAGATTATCCTGTTAAGAAGTTAATATATATCAAGAAGTATAGGTGGTAAATATGTGTTATATTGTAGAATGAAAGATTACAGAGAGAACTAGATGAAGTAAGTAATAATCTAAAGAATATGGAAACGAAAGCTAGGCAGTCTGAATCTAATATCTTAGAAATAGAAGATCAAAAAGATCATTTGATACAGTTAAAAAATCAACTGGAAAGTGAAACATTACAGCGGTAAGTAATGAATAATAAAATGACATTTTATTCTTAATCAACTATCTTAACTTAGAGATGTAGTTTGCTTTTCCAAGAAGCATCTTGCCATGTTCTCTTGGCAGATGGCCTTAAAGAAGATTTTTCAACAAATGACAGGAGAAAGATGTGATGTATTCTTGGTGTTTAATTAAGGTTGTCTCGGTTAGTAAAATCCTTTGAAGTTATAAACTGACTGACCTCGTTGATTTTTATACGCCCACATGAATATGTGGTCGTATATTGTCGTCGCCCCTGTCCGTCGGTCCATCCGTCAACATTTCTTGTTAGCACTATAGAGACTACAGTTTTTATCTGATTTTGATAAAACTTGGTGTGATGCTTTAGATTGATAAGATCTTGGTCAAGTTCTAACTTGACGCATTTTCGATGAACGGTTTTTGAGATATTGCCCTTGACTTAGAACGCCTTGAAATTTGTTAAAAATTGTTTGTGAGCAGGATTGAAGCTACAGTTTTCATCCGATTCTGATGAAACTTGGTGTGATCATTGGAATTCATAAGATCTCGGACAAGTTCTAACTTGACGCATTTATCGAAGAACGGTTTCGGAGTTATTGCCCTTGACTTTGTTAAAACGTGTCAAAATTTGTTAAAAATATTTCGTGAGCAGGATTGAAGCTACTGTTTTCATCCGATTCTGATGAAACTTGGTGTGATCATTGGAATTCATAAGATCTCGGACAAGTTCTAACTTGACGCATTTATCGAAGAACGGTTTCGGAGTTATTGCCCTTGACTTTGTTAAAACGTGTCGAAATTTGTTAAAAATTGTTCGTGAGCAGGATTGAAGCTACAGTTTTCAACCGATTCTGATGAAACTTGGTGTAATCATTGGAATTGATAAGATCTCGGACAAGTTCTAACTTGACGCATTTTTGATGAATGGTTATTGAGTTATTGCCCTTGACTTTGTAAAAACACGTCAAAATTTGTTAAAAATAGTTCATGAGCAGGATCGAAGCTACAGTTTTCAACCGATTCTGATGAAACTTGGTGTGATCATTGGAATTGATAAGATCTCGGACAAGTAATAACTTGACGCATTTTCGATGAACGGTTTTTGAGTTATTGCCCTTGACTTTGTTAAAACGTGTTGAAATTTGTTAAAAATAGTCCATGAGCAGGATTGAAGCTACAGTTTTCAACCGATTCTGATGAAACTTGGTGTAATCATTGGAATTGATAAGATCTCGGACAAGTTCTAACTTGACGCATTTTTGATGAATGGTTATTGAGTTATTGCCCTTGACTTTGTAAAAACACATCAAAATTTGTTAAAAATAGTTCATGAGAAGGATCGAAGCTACAGTTTTCAACCGATTCTGATGAAACTTGGTGTGATCATTGGAATTGATAAGATCTCGGACAAGTTATAACTTGACGCATTTTCGATGAACGGTTTTTAGGTTATTGCCCTTGACTTTGTTAAAATGCGTCGAAATTTGTTAAAAATAGTTTGAGAGCAGGATTGAAGCCACAGTTTTCAACCGATTCTGATGAAACTTGTTGTGATCATTGGAATTGATAAGATCTCGGACAAGTTCTGACTTGATGCATTTTTGATGAACGGTTTTCGAGTTATTGCCCTTGACTTTGTAAAAACGCGTCAAAATTTGTTCGTGAGCACAATAGAAGCTACAGTTTTCAACCAATTCTGATGAAACTTGGTGTGATCATTGAAATTGATAAGATCTCGGACAAGTTCTAACTTGACACATTTTCGATGAAATGTTTTTGAGTTAATGCCATGAAAAACGTGTCAAAAAGTGTTTGTGAGCACAATAGAAGCTACAGTTTTCAACTGATTCTGATGAAACTTGGTGTGATCATTGGAATTGATAAGATCTCGGACAAAATCTAACAAGAGATATTTTTGATGAACATTTTTTGAGTTATTGCCCTTGACTTTGTAAACACGCGTCAAGAGTTGTTTTTTGCCCTTGATTAGAGCTCTGTGATTTAATTGTTTGTTGTATTTGGGTTATTGATATTGATTTTAAAAAATTTTGTGGAATTATTCAGCATAAATAATTTCTTCAATATGAGAAAATTTAGTCACTAAAGACTGTTTTATTATTTCTGACAGCTGCCAGTGGGCGTATATGTTACCTTGCAACGCAAGCAATCTTTGAGATGTAAATTACTGTTGTTTAGCTGAGGGTTTTTCTACAATGAAAGGAGATTCAGTAACTTAAAATCATTGCTTTTATTTCAGAACATTATTAGATCAAACAGTGATAGAATTAAAACATCAAGTGTCTGTATTAAAACAACATGAAAATAAAGTTTCTAGTGAAAATAGAAAATTACAACATTCTATATTAGATTTAGAATCTCAATTACAAAGATTACAAGATGAAAAAGATTTTCAACCGGTTAGAACCATATATTTTCCATTTACATTCTACTTTTGAAGTTAGTTATCAGGGGGTTAGAGCTGGCACTGGACCGACTCTAGGAAGCACATGGCATCAGAATTTGTCATTCCTTGAATAGGATTCAAAACCCACAGAAAATAATGGTTTGCAATGAACCATGTAGAAATTTTCTGCTATTATATACCAGATATATTTGTTTTTCAGAACAACACAATGTCAGAAAATGGTAAACAGAATTTAATGGAACAGATTTTACGACTACAGAAAGAAGTCAAAGATTTACAATATGAACTGTTATCAGCTAATGAAAAACAAGAGATGCATGAAAAACGATACGAAAACCGTAAATTAAGAACTAAAGAAAAGTTATTAAAAGCAAGGTGAGGTAATTTGTTCATTCAAACATCTTGTTAACGTAGATGTGTCATGTAGCACTTATCAGCAGTCTTAATTGATTTAAAACTAAATCTACATTTTGAAACAATTTATTCTTCCATAAAAAAAAAATTCAGTGAATATTGCTAAGATGAACAACTAATTTTCATTTGTAGAGAGTTTTATAGTGATGAACGATCCAGATTACATGATCAGATGCAAGTTATGGATGAAGAATTGAGAATATCTAGATCTACATTAAGAAAAGAAGTAGAATGGAGGGATAAAATAGATACTAATTATAAACATGTATTAAAAGAAAAACGGGATTTGATATCAAAGTAAGTAGAGCTTACATTCAAATGGCAATGATGTCACTCTTCACCCTCAATCATCTTCAGACTGGTTGATAAACTCGTTACAAATAGATATATTTTCATGAACACTTTTGAAAAGTTCGTGTTATGAGGACTATTTGCATAGCCAATGTAATGGTGGGACATTTGTATCTTATAAAAGTCAATTATATTGTGATTGTTAATCAAGTTCAAGTATGGAAACATACAAACAACATACTCACAGCTTTAAGCTTCAGAATTTCTAACTTGATTTTTCTATCATTTTCAAATGCCTGAATACCTCTTGTTAATTAAGGTATGTACCCTCTGATCATTCCTTTATCTTTTTATATTTGATTTATTTTTACGCTTCTAGCATGCACTTTGTACACACTTTATATACTTTGGAAACATTGAACCCTCATTTGCCTCTACTTGAAATTAGTTTGACATTTTATATGTCCTACTGATTTCTGAACAAGTTTATCAGGGATAATATACAGTGTTAACACGCTTAGACCAGCGAGAGCATAGAATTATGAAGATTCATGTTTCCAAATTTACTTATTACACTTTCACAATTTTTGTTCTTCCTTTTTACATTAATTTTGCATATTATTCAGATACAATTCATTGTTAGCTTGGTTTACTGGAATACTGCATATATTATGTTTTTATGGTGTAGAGGACAGTATTTCTTTGTGTTGTAATTTTTATTGGTTTCCTGTTGCCAATTGTTACGATATATTCTTTATGTATTATGTTAGCTGCTCAAAGTGTGATTGTTGTTTGTGTTATGGTATATTATAAATACCACTATGCCATATTTATACTTGAATGATTCAATTGTATGTGTATTTTTAAAGTTTATCTACTTTTATTGATTAATTAATAAGCTTATTAGTTCGCGGCTTGTTTAACATTGGTTTATTTACAATTTTATCACAGAAACTAATTACAATCAGTTTACATGAACCCGTTTCAAAATGGTTTTTATTACTAAGTATACCTTTAGTTTCTTCTTTTAACTTTCTGTAAGAAATTTAAATTTTTTTTGAGCTTCTGAAATACCATACATATTTCTCTTATTGCACCTTTATAATTGAATATTTTTTTCGTCTTTTATTCTCCTTTTCTTCTCCTTTTCTTCTCCTATTGATAAGAATCAAAGACACGTTTGTTAATTTCTACTTCATTAACAATTTTATAGGCTATTTAAATGTTAAAGGAACATGTGCACCATTTTGGGGGGTTGATTTGAATCTTGAATATGTAAATAGTCTTCAGAAAATTTCCTATTTCTACGATTGGTCACAAAAAATGGTGCACTTGTCCTTTTAATTGGAAATTTGTTAAAAGTTGATATGGCATCCTTATTGATCCTTGCAGTGATTCTGCTTTATTTCAGGTTAACAGAGCACGAAGAGGTCTTACGAGATCGCACACGTTCTCTGTCTGTGATACAAGTCCGTTTAAAATATGTGGAGGAGGAGAATCTACGATTACAAGCCCATATAGAATCCCTCAACAATCAAAGATTAACTATGGAGAAAATATCAAAGACTTCTAAACAGGTATTTTTCAATGTTATATGTGACATTTTTTTTTCCTTTGTCATCTACTAATTTCTTGTTGTAAAATAGATTGCTCAGTGTTTAAAAGAAGTGTTTAAAGTCTTTAAAAATTTTTAAAGAATACAAGCAATATTTTTATTCCTTACTTTGAGTACGTTATTACATTATAAAATTTATGTTTTATTTTCTTTCAAAATATGAGAGCCAAATCATAACAATATTAACTAATCAAACATCATATTGTAACTTTCAAAAAGCTTCTGAATTCTCCATCCAAACGTAACAGGCTATCATGTTGATCAAGTCTAATACAATATGGTAACAACCCTTATTGATGTAGATTTGCTCACAAACCCCAATTATTCTTACAACCCTTATTGTGGTAAATATGCTCACAAATCCCTAATATGGTCACAACCCTTATTGTGGTAAATATGCTCTCAAATCCCTAATATGGTCACAACCCTTATTGTGGTAAATATGCTCTCAAATCCCTAATATGGTCACAACCCTTATTGTGGTAAATATGCTCACAAATCCCTAATATGGTAACAACCCTTATTGTCGTAAATCACTCACAAACACCTATTGAGATAAATATAACTATAACTGTACCCTTATTGTTGTAATTGTCCAAATTTCTACTTCTAAAGATAGCTTGCCAGCAAGGCTTGAAATAAGCTTCCGAACACGAACATTATCCGGTACAATTTCGGCAAATGTTCATTACAATCTCGTTTGAGCCGGACATTTTTGTCAGGTACCAAATGCATGAAAAAATATTGTATTTATATGCCCACATCTCTCTGTGGACGTATATTGTTGACACTCGTCTGTCCATCCGTCAACATTTGCTTGTAAACGCTTTAAAAACTAGATTTTAGATGAATCAAATGAAATTCGGTATGTGTATACATATTCATAAAACAAAGATGAACTTCAAATTTGAGCTATTTTCGATGTTAGAAGCAGAGTTATTGCCCTTGCCCCAAAATCTTGAATATGCTATTATTCCCTTAGTTTTCAACCGATTTTGATGAAACTTAAAATAGACGTTTTGTTTTTACCGCATGCCGTGGTGGGTGTCAACATTTGCTTGTAAACGCTTTAAAAACTAGATTTTTGATGGAATCAAATGAAATTCGGTATGTGTATACATATTCATAAAACAAAGATGAACTTCAAATTTGAGCTATTTTCGATCGTTAGAAGCAGAGTTATTGCCCTTGCCCCAAATTTTGAATATACTATTATTCCCTTAGTTTTCAACCGATTTTGATGAAACTTAAAATAGGCGTTTTGTTTTTACCGCTTGCCGTGGTGGGTGTATATGGCTGTGGTCCACTATCTTTCTTCTTGAAAAGATCGTGAATTATCAGCGATTCTGACCATTAATATTGCCAATAGACGTCAAAGTTGTGTGTTCTTAAAAAGCTTGGTCAAGTTTGAATTTTCAACGATTTCACTCTTAACAATTTTTTGCCCTTGATATTAGAGCTGTGTGATTTTAATGATTTGATGTATTTGGGTTATTGATATTGATTTTTAAAAATTTTGTGGAATTACTCAGCTTAAGTAACTGGCAATTAATATATATATCAAAATATTCAAACTATTTAAAATTCTTCAATATGAGAAAATTCATACTTTAGTCACTAAAGACTTTTATCATTTCTGACAGCTGCCAATGGGCGTATGTTACCTTGCCTGGCAAGCTATCTTTACTAAATTAAGGGCAATAACTCTAAAATGAAATTTGAAATAGACTGAGATCTCATCAAAATATACATGAATACCAAGTTTCATCAAGATCGGATAAAAATGTGGATGGACCGACGGACTGACAGGGGCGACGGCAATATAAAACTACATTTTCATGTGGGCGTATAAAAACGAAAAAATCATTACACAAAAAATGAATGAATGAGACATGACCATTTATTTATTTAATCATTACATTGAGTGTAAAAGGACAGGTGCTCATATGAGCCTCAGTTATGTAATGTACTATATTAGTTCAGTGGGTCTGGGTTATAAATGAATGAACATTGAGTTTACCTTGATTGTAAATTGAGTTGAAAAGTCATTAATAAACATTTCTAAAATATCATATTGATATTTAATGATAATTAAAGTGGTCAACTTATGTCATTAATTATTAATGACTTTCATGAAGAAATGTTAAATGAGGCTTTGTCATTTGTAAGCTTATGTCTCTCATTGTTTTATATATTTATATACTAATCATCTATTAATACATCTCCTTTGAACAAACAAGTTCATCTTCCCTTATTCAGTGATAATAACAAGTTAATTGCTTACTTAAAGATAGCTTGCCAGGCAACTGCCCACTGGCATCTTTGATTTTAAATAACAACATTTATTAGTACATAGCAATCACCATTATGAAATATTCAACCTTCAGTCATACACTTGTATGGCTTTATCCATGGGTGATAATAAACAATTTCACTAAAGTTCATCAAAATCTGACAAGAGTTCTGCCTTCCAGATATTGATATTGAACACATTTTCATGAACAAGGGCAATTACTCATATTGCATATTTTTCGATTTTCTAATTTTCAATAGGACCCGTTCATCCTTGGGTGATTACAAACACTTACGCCAAGTTTCGTCAAGAATTGTGCCTTCTAGAGAGTTTAAGCCCTAAAACTTGAATGCATTTCAAGAACGAGGCAATAACTCATATAAAATACTTTTGATTTTCAATAGGGTTCATTCATGGGTGATAATAAACAATTTCACCAAGATCTGTCAAGAATTTTGCCTTTTAGAGTGTTCACGAGCTGTGTACAGACTGACAGGCATGGGTGATGCCAATACACGTTCGTATTTCATGTAGGTTAATAAAAATTAGTGTCTTGGCTTGATAATTTATTTACTAAATTGAAATGCATGTCTGACCCTCGGTCATTTGAGCTTCATTGCTGGTCATGTCGTGGAAATAGAGCCAAATCATCAATCCTGCTATTTAGTTTCCTTTCTTTTCATTTACATGAAATATATGGTCAGTTCTAATCTCAGACACGTAAAGGTCTGGTGACCTTAAAGAAGTCACCATATGTCAATTCCATATGACTTACCTTTATATGGGTACAAATAATCTGGGAAAATGCAATGCCAAGAGATGAGCTGGTAGACAGGATCTTTAGAGAACCTTGTTATTCTTGCTCTTTCTCTGTAAGATTCTGATTTATACTTTTTGTACATGATAGATAACATAGACTTTAGTTTATTATACGCCCACATTATAATGTGGACGTATATTGTCGGTCCGTCTGTCCACAATTGACTTGTGAACGCGATAGAGACTACAGTTTTCATCTGATTCGAATGTAATTTGGTGTGTTCATTTATATTGATGAGATCTTGGCCAAGTTCAATAATCACGATTTTTCGATGACCGGTTTTTGAGTTATTGCCCTTGACTTAGCCAAAACACGTCAAAATTGGCTTGTGAACGCGATAGAGACTACAGTTTTTATCTGATTTGAATGAAATTTGGTGTGATCATTTATATTCATGAGATCTTGGACAAGTTCGAATTTGACGATCTTTCGATGAACAGTTTTTGAGTTATTGCCCTTGACTTATAAAAAACACGTCAAAATTTGGTTGTGAACACAATAGAGACTACAGTTTTTATCCAATTTCAATGAAATGTGAATATTTATAATGATGAGATCTTGTACATTTGGTTATCTTTCAATGAATGGTTTTTGAGTTATTGCCTTTGACTTATGAAAAACGCGTCAAAATTTGGTTGTGAACACAATAGAGACTATAGTTTTCATCCATAGTATGATCATTTATAATGATGAGATCTTAGTCAAGATTAAATTTGACAATTTTTCGATCAACAGAATTTGAGTTATTGCCCATGACTTAGTAAAAACGCATCAAAATTTCTTAGCGTTATCAGAATTTTATTAAATAATGTGTGTTTGTTGAAATCAACAATATCTTGCACAAATTAGATTTTTGGTATGATTTGACTGCCCTTGATATACTGAAAATGTATCAGGAAAGTAGGCGTATCTTGCTAGGCAACAACTTTTTTTAAACGCCCACATGGAAATATATATCGCCGTCGCCCCTGTCCATTGGTCTGTCAAAATTTGTTTGTGAACACAATAGAGACTACAGTTTTCAACTGATTTTAATGAAATTTGGTGTGATCATTTTTATTGATGATATCTTGGTCGAGTTCGAATTTGATGATCTTTCGTTGAACAGCTTTGAGTTATTGCCCTTGACTTAGGCAAAACACATCAAAATTTGTTTGTGAACATAATAGAGACTACAGTTTTCAACTGATTTAAAAGAAATTTGGTGTGATCATTTATATTGATGAGATCTTGATCAAGTTCGAAGTTGACATTCTTTCGATGAACGGTTTTTGAGTTATTGCCCTTGACTTAAGAAAAACGCTTCAAAATTTGTTTGTGAACACAATAGAGATTACAGTTTTCAACTGATTTTAATGAAATTTGGTGTGATAATTTATATTGATGAGATCTTGGTCAAGTTCGACTTTGACGTTCTTTCGGTGAACGGTTTTTGAGTTATTGCCCTTGACTTAAGAAAAACGCGTCAAAATTTGTTTGTGAACACAATAGAGATTACAGTTTTCAACTGATTTTAATGAAATTTGGTGTGATAATTTATATTGATGAGATCTTGGTCAAGTTCGACTTTGGAGTTCTTTCGGTGAACGGTTTTTGAGTTATTGCCCTTGACTTAGGAAAAACGCGTCAAAATTTGTTTGTGAACAAAGGGCTGTTTATTGCGACTAAAACTCGTATTGCGATACACCCCCTTGTATCGCAATATGTATTGCAATATATTGTGAAATTTCATTGAGTTGATATTTTTAACTGTTAATTTGAAAGAAGATATTTTTAATGCCTTTAAGCTCCCTTCACTAACAGTCTGGGTTATTATTTCCATGAAAGCTTGATTAACTTTCTGGGCTTATATTGATTACTTATTATTTTTAATGTCCACTGGTCTCATTTTGCTTTTAATCATCTTATCAGACACACACAGTTGTATAGTTGTCACTGGATATATCTAATATTTATTGTAATTCCAACTCAGTTAAAATTGACATTTTGTTCTGAGAACAACATTGTTGTAGTTAATAAAATTCAAGTTGTGTTATGGCTGCTAATGCTACTGTAAGTTTTCATGCAGGTGATGTTCAGAAATATCTGAACTTATTTATAGGTGTTTTAACAGTAACTTTGGCTTTATTCTCATGGCTTCTTATTTTGAAAGGAAGGAGTATGTCTAAAAGACAAAAAGTGTGTTTTTGTGCATTATTATTAACAGACACCTTGTTAGGTTTACAAGTTGTTATTATTCGTTTAATACCATTTGACTATAATAGTGATCATATTATATGTTTTTTACGCTTGTATTTGGGTCTTGTATTAAATGTTTTAACATGTTTAAGTTCTGTGTTGATGACAGCAGAGAGATTTTTTGTGATGTATAAACCTTTGACGTTCAATCGGCATATAACATGGCAAAGACTAGCTTACTGCATTGTTATGTTTTGGATTTTTGCAGTTTGTCTCATTTTTGGATTATTTCATAAAGGATTTGGTGGTCAAGCTGTGTGTCAGTTTTGGACGTGTGGGGATATTAATGGATACATTGTTGTATCAGTGTTGGATTTGACATGCTACATTATTGTACTATGTATGTATGCATACATCGTCAAAGTAACAAGACGCCATTTTAGAATGATAGCTGCCACTATGATTGGAGATGTTGTAGCAGAAAATGTTCACAAATTAACTAAAAAAGGACATAGAACCAATATAACTGTAGGAATAATAATTTTTGCATTTGGTATTTCGTACATACCCATGAATTCATATTCATTTTATTATGCGCTGGCCTTTACTCAGGAAGAACGCATAAATATAGAGAGTACAAATCAAACGTTTACTATTCTTCTTGGACTATTTTTAATAAATAGTTTAGTCAATCCTATTGTGTATATTTGGCGCTTAAAAAGATGTCGACAAGAAATAGTTAATTGGCTTCTATGTAGACTAGTGACTATAGATGAAACAACAACAACACAGCTTGAATCTTAAACAGGTTTGTTTCAAACTTTTGAATACTTTGTAGATAGATGAGAACTATGTGGGGATGCATCGAGAGATAAAGGAGTAAATTATTTCGAATGAAATAAAAATATATTATGCACACATTGTAATACCTTGTAAGTGGAGAAAATTTTGAATTGTTTTGTTCAAGATCGAATTTGGTAATAAACTCATGTGCTGTGTCCAATTTGGCTCGTAGGCACAATAGAAAGTACACTTTTTTATCTTGATGAAACTTAATATGTATATTTTTATTGATGAGATCTTGTTTGATTTAGGCAATACTTGGAAGAACGATTTTTAACTGATCTTAATGAAATTGCTATGCATAGGTTAATTGATGACGTCTCAACCAACTTGAGTCGGAAAAATCTGCCTCTATTCCAGCCTCTGATAGATATTTTGACAGTTTTTGGCTGAAGTAGAGTCAGAAAAACTAGGCTCTGTTTTATGGACATTTTCCGAATTTTCCATGGACATAAATATCCAAAAATATATGACATGATAGAACATGGTATTATTTTACTTGATTCATGGAATACCATGTTATGTTTTCTTATTTGATAGAACACCATGGCCCGAAATTGCAAATTTGATAGAATGCTAGGCTCCTAGTGCTATGTCCTAACAAAACAAAAATTACAGCAGTACCCAACATTAATTTATAGTCGTTGTAAAGGTAATTTAATATTATATGTAGAAAAACACACGTATGTAACATAGTGTTGTATTAAATAAGCATCTTAGATCTTAATGTATCAAACAAGCATCTTTTACCATGGTGTTCTATCAAATATTAGCTAAATTTTCTATTTAGAAGCTCAATGGTTAAGAATTTTACGATCATGTGACCTATTGCCTGACATTTGAGTGGCAGCTTTCGTAAGTTTAAAGTTAGATCATATCAAGTAAAAATTTTACTATTACATATTTTGCCATAGCTTTAGTCCGGCGCACACGAGCCATCAGCTCAGACAGAATTCATTCGTGCACTTCTCCTTTAGGCCATAGCTTCCGTGTGCTGGTAAATTTATGTAAGATTTTTGCCATTAGTGTCAAAAAGATGAAAATCAAACGTGTTTGATATAGAAATACTTCCTATTGACACACATTAGTATTTCTATTGAAGCTCTGCATTGTAAAGATTTCTCTTGTTCTGGTCATGCCCAATTGTTAGAAACTTACTTTGATGATTTAATTCAAGCCAGTCTTGATCCCAGTAAGAGTTCTATTACATCCAAGGTACAAAAAAATGGCAAGTCTGTGATTCCAGATTGGAATGGTCATGTAAAAGGAGCAAGAAACACTTCCATATTTTGGCACAATCTATGGAAAGACAACAATTCCCCCAAGTCTGGTATTTTAGCTACTATCAGAATGCAAACTAGAGCTAAGTATCACCATGTTCTTAAAAAAGCTAAGAAAAATAGAGACCATATTTGTGCAAACAAAATGGCTGAAAGTTTATTGGAAAACAGAGCAAGAGATTTCTGGAAAGAGGTCAAAAGGATACATGGAGGTTGCAACGCCTTGCCCAATAATGTTGATGATTGAAACGGGGATGAGAAGAGAGGTAACATGTTTGCTTGGAAGTATGAACAACTGTTCAATAGTGTTTCGTTTAATCATGATGACATGAAAGAGCTGAAATCGAATATTGAACATAGAATTCAGAATGAATGTCATGGTGACACATGTCACAGTAATCACACAATTTCTGTTGATGAGGTCAAACAGGCAGTGAAGCATTTAAAATGCGGTAAGAACAGTAGTATATGAGTTCATAGATTGGTTGCATTTTTCCCCATTTCATTTCATGGGTAAAATGCGACCAATCTATGAACTCCCAAAAAAAAGACTTAAATTCCCTACATTTCATAAATTCTTACAGCAAAACATCCTACATTTCATAAAACACCCTACATTTCATAAAATTCTTACATTAAAAAAGACCAAAAAACACCTTCAATCAATTTCCTACATTCCATCAAAAAAAGCATATTAAAATAATGTAGAAGGGAGATAACTCTTGTTTTTTGAAATTTTCTACTCAAATTTTAAACCTTAAAAATGGCAAATAAAATACTAGATCCAATCTTTAGATTATACGATCCGATTTTGTTATTCATTTAACAAGAAAAAAGAGGATTATATTATCATCTCACCGACTGTTGGTTCTAAATCCCAGTTGAATGATGGTGGTAGAATTACCTTCGAAATAAATTCATTATCGAATTGGTTGCTTCTTTCAGATGCTTATTTCAGATGCGATTTCAAAATTAAAGATGGAACTCAGAATCAAGTTCTAATACAACGTTAGAAAACAATTTCTTTCGATCTTTATTTAGCGAGATGGTTTTGGAAGCTGGTTCAAATCCGATAGAAACAATTAAACATCCTGGGGAATTCGACACAATGTTGAAAACAGTTTCATATCCTAAAGATTTCGATTCAGTCTCAGGTTGGATACCCGATGTTGGTGATGGAAGTGTTTTAAAAGAACCGTAAGAAATGTTGCAAATGATGCTGATTTAGCTAGAGTGAGAGTTGTTGCTCAAAACACAATAGAAAGAGTAGCACGAGCAGCTAATCATGGATTTGAAAAACGAGTACTTCAGTACAATAATATTATTGAGAATAATAGGTTGGGTAATTACGTAAATTGGAAATTATATCCTTTATTCGGTCTGTTGGAACACAGAAAGGTTTCCGTAGGATTACCATATAAAATTCATCTACAAAGAGAAATCAACGATGATAAGATATTCTTTGGAGAGAATGGTTCAGATGCAAAATTAGAAATAACGAATCTCCAACTTTCATACCCGTAATAACACCATCAATTGAAGTAGAAACAAGAATATTCAACTCGTTAACTAAAGATATTGAAATAGCTTTTCTTCATCGTAACACGGTAGGTAGCATGACTTTAACGGGAGAATCCACCACGTGGCCAATCACTAACACTATTAAAAGCAAGATATTTAATGGTTGGTTTCAAGAACTTACCAGATTCTCAAACGAATCACAATAATGTCTTTAGAGTGGCAATGAACCAAACTCAAAATCCTTTTATCCATAAAGTTCAAGTAAGATTAAACAACGATAATTATCCTAACCAACCTTTAACAATTAATCCAACCACAAAGGATTATAATGAATTGTATAAAAACTATAAAAACGTGTGAATTATTTGGAAATCCACCTCAGTTTGAATATGTAGATTTTGCACTTAATCATCCAATCTTCTGTTTTGATCTATCAGCTCACCAAGAAGATCTTTTCAAAACAGGAGTAAACATAAATATTCATATTGAAAAAACACAAGGAGATGTAACAGGTTATTGTTTATTATTGGAAGAAGCAAAACATTTAATTAAAATAGCAGATAGAAGAATGATAAGAATTGAATAAAAAATACACCCTTAAAAATGAAACAAAAAACTTTAGTTATGAAAATGATAGAAGCTATTGAAACAGCTTCCCCAACTGTAATAACTTTCAACGGTAAAAAATTCAGCATGACTTAAAAACTTATTGATAAATACAAATATTGTCAAGTTAGAGACGATATAGACTTAGAAAGAATTGACGCGAACGCAAAAAAAAGGTGGATTTTTACCTTTCCTTCTACCTTTAATATTTGGTGGTATTGCAGCGGCTACTGAAATAACAAAAACAGTCCTCTCAAAGAAAGCAGCTGATGCTAAAGCCGCTGAAGAACGCAGACATAATTTAGCAATTGAAAAAGAAGCACGAGGTTCAGGAGTGGGAAAAATGATAGGCACAATAAAAGAATTTGGAAAAAGATTTGGGGAAGAAACCAAGAAAACTGTTAAACAAGGATTAAAAAAATTAGTAGATAGTTTGACACGGGAGAAGTCAAAGTCAAACATAAGGATAATGGAATATTTTTTAAAAATATACACACTGGAGAAGGAATATATCTTTCAAAGTATAAAGGAGAAGGAGTGATTTTTGGAACAAATTAAAATAATAAAAAATGGGCAAAAAATTCAATCATTCAGAAATATTTCCTAATAACCCAATGCTCATGTGTATATGCGGTAGTTCCGGTTCTGGAAAAACACATCTCACTTTTAACATGTTGACAACACCAAACCTAATGACCTAGACTTGTCTAATATTGATAGCAAACGAAAGAACTTAATATTGTTTGACGACTGCGTGGCGCAAAGAAATCAAGCTGTTCAACACGAATTCTTCACGAAAGGAAGACATCACAACTGTCATTGCATATACCAATCCCAATCTTTTTACGGGATGGATTCTATGTTCATTAGAAAAAATGCGAATTGTTTTTTATTATTTGAATTAAACGATAAAGATTTATCTCAAATCATTCAGCCGATAAATCACGGAATGGACAGAAATGCATTTAAAAAGGTTTGTAAAGCTCAATGGAAAAACCCAGATGATCATGGATATGTATTTGTAAATACTAGAAAACCCGTGGATGAAAGAGTTATGATCGGCATATGTTAATTTTATTTTCTTAAAAATGACTGATTGAAATAATATTTTTAAAAAGAAATAGAGAATATATCAAAGCTAAGAATAAAATAAAGACCCAAGTTGAAAATAACAGATTACAACTCGGATTAACCTCCTATAGAACCCACACCTTCTATAGAATCTCATCAAATAGAATATCCCATTGAATATGATGGTATTATAATTAGGACAATAGACGATATAAATCATTATTTTTCAAACCCTGACCCAGATTTACCAATAACCATTTCACCAATCATTGATGAAGTGGGGTTATTGTTTAATAGTTTTAGAATAATATTTGATCCAAATTCACCACAATTCAAAATCGACACAAAAAACTTTATATTTACATTAACAAAAGGGTTAATAGATTTAATGAATGGCGGGGATTTTGATCTTGCCGATTACAAGGATTTAGTAGCATACTCAAAATTTCTACATCGAATTAAAAGGACGGGAGCCGACACAAATAGATCGAAAAAAGTTAAAGTATATATAAAAGCAATTGAACATCCTGAATACGAAGTTGACGAAGTGGGTGATTATGCAGAAAATTATACACCAATCATACAAGAAATAGACGAATTCGAAGATATGGTATCTGGACAAGGTATAACTTTTTTATCCGATAACAACGAAGAATTGCTTAATAGATTACGAGTAATATTAGCAGCAATGAAGGAAGGACATCGATCAAAAAGACAATATAATGAAGTAAATTGTATATTAAAAAGACTCTTAGAGAAAGGTATTATAGATAAAAATGATTATAAAAGCGTGATTAAAAATGTCAAATAAAGAACAACTATTCGTCATCACCTCAAATAAATCAGACATTAAATTATCTCTAGATTATGAGTACGAACTCGATCGCAATCAAGAATATGAATTGGGATTAAAGTATTTCTCTGTTTACAATTCCATTAGAAATATCAACGAAAAAAATAATCAAATAAAAATATCAACAGATAATGGAGTTACGTTCAAAACCATACGTTTACTACCAGGAAGCTACGAATACATAGCCATTTACGAACACCTATCTGAATACGCAGGTAAAAACAATATTGAATTCGAAGGTAATTTGAATCTGAACAAAATAAAATTGATATTAAGAAATAATAGTCAAGTTGATTTCAACGTAGAAAATTCATTGAATACGTTACTAGGATTTGATAAACGAGTATACACCCAATCCACTTTAGCACCACACAAAGCTAATATCGAGAATGATATCGATGTGATAAATATACAGTGCAATTTGATAAATGGTGGATTTTTCAATAAATACAAACGTCAGATTATTTACAGTCTTCCAACATTCACTGTACCGATAGGATATAGAATTATAGAGAAACCATTTCAAACGACGTATTTACCACTTAATTCCTTTATGATTAAAGATATAAATCTGGAAATCAAAGATGGTAAAAATAGGTTTATAGATTTTGGTAACGAGGAAATTGTTATTCAACTTCATTTAAAACAAAAAAATTAACACTCTTCATTCTCTTCTTGAATAGTTAAATAATCAAAATCATCAAATTCGTAGTTTTCATCTATGTTTAATTCTTTTCCATCGTTGTAAGGATACAATGATTCCTTCACTGTTTGGTGCTTTTCTCTTAACGAGATTTAGATAACTTCTAAAAACTTTCTTTTGTTTATCATTTGGAATAACTACTCCATTGGTGAAAATTTTTACCCAAGGTTTCTTAAATTCATTCGTTACATCGAGCCCACTAGCTAATCGAATATAATCTTCTACGGATATCTTATCTTTAGAGTAACCCTTAAACATTTTCTTTTAAAACACCATCGGTAGTTAGAATGATATTGTATTTAACTTTATGCGCTAAATATAAACCAAATATAATTCCACCATCACCGTAATCATTCTTTCTTTACAATAATCATTTTCGGACACCAACCCAGCTTCATTTAATTTATCCCAATTGCTAGACGAAATGTATAAACTATCGGTATCCGTATAGTATATTTCAGGCTTATAAAATTCATCTATCACGCGAATAAAATCATTCATTATTTTTTTATTGTGAGATAAAACGAATGATCCCAAATGACTAGGTGTTAGTAGTGTAGATTTAGGAGGAATAAATTCTTTTTCTTCTTCATTTATCTCAACTATATATTGACTATCATTTACTTTTTCATAGCTTTTGACGTGTGAATCATAGTTGGCTTTTAAAGTGGCTTCACTCCATAGATGTCTCGATGAAGTTATATCCTTCTGAATAGATTTACCATACAACGAATTACCTAATAATTTCATGATTTACTACCTACGATATTACCTTCTCGTTTATATTTATTTCTTAGATCTCTCAAAATTAAAATATAATCTCTATAGGGTGGAGTTTTAAAATTTTCTTCGTAAACTATACCATCTAATATTCTAATAATTCTTCCACCGGCTTTCACTATTTCTTGAATATCGACCGATGTTAAAACGTCGTGACAGAAACCATTTCTGAACCTGATTTTGTTACCTGTTTCCTTTTTACCTTCTTTATTCGTGAAAGTGATTTTATCTTTAGCTGGTATCGGTTGGAAGAACATGTTTTTGGGATATTCAAACCAGACTTTTAAAATAGCAGTTCTAGGTCTGAATTTCTAGAGCTTGACAAATTCTTTATTTTCTTCCGGTAGAAATGGTCTACCACTTTCCGCTCTTGGTTTTTTGCTATCTAAATCCGACATGCCGGAAGCGTACAAACCGTTAGCATCAAAGGCCATTAGTATAGTACATTTTATTTTTTTAAGTCTCGAATGAACCTCCGTTTTATCTTTCGTGCTAGCGCTATATTCTTTGAATAAATCAATTATATTATCAGAGTCACTTGCATTGTATTCCTATAATATATTACAAATTTCATCCATTTTGTTCGTTTCAAATGATTTTCGATTTGCAGAAACTCTTCCTCCTTTAATACTTTGTCTGATAAAATGTCTTATAAAAGGGTGAGTAAACTTTTTCTACGTTTTCTTTTTCGGTGTGTTTCGGAACCATTCTAGTAGTTTCATACCATTCTTCTTCAATCATTTCTTTATCGTAATGATATAAATTATACCAACCCTATAAAGATAAAGAAGGAGCTGTTAGATTATTGGAAATATTCTGAAATAATTCTTTCATTGCTTGATTGCATTTTATCAAACAAGCTCCGAGACATAACGCATCTCTTTTAGTGTAAGATTCCCAATTATCTTTAGTGTATTTTGCAATATTAACATCCTCGATCTTTCTCAAATTCATTGGTAGATTAGTTGAATTTACCCATGCTGCCAAAGTAGATGATTCATGTTGATAGGAACATATGAAATTAATATTTTGTAAATAATTAGAGTTACCCTTTATTTCTTTCTGTCTTTTCCATTTTTTCTGTAAATCTTCATCAGTGAATGAATTAATTTAAGGTAGAGACAGAATTCCTCTGGGCGTTTTTAAAGGGCATTGTGTTAGTTTTTTTTACGTTTTTGATCATGATCCAGTTATCAAAACCGCTAGCGTTATGAGCAATTAATGTTATTCTTTTTTGATCTATTTTTCCTAAACGTTGTAACATTTGATCAATGCAATCTGTACCTACAAATATTTCTACTATATTAGTCATGAGTTTGTTGTAAAATTCTTCTGGAATGGGATCTGTCAGCTTTAAATCAGGAAAGAGATTATTTATTCTGCTTAACATTTTTCTTAGTTTTTCTAAATTAATTAACGTGCAAGAATAAGGTATGGCTTTATTTTCGTTATAGGCTTTGCAATCCCATGCGTATAAACAATCATCGGGAATGGTTGGAAAAACATTTAGTTTTAGCAGTGAAACTTGCGTTATCATCTTTACAAGTTCTCCATACATTTTCATCGTAATTATTTTCTATTCCTTTAATGCCTAAGGTTTTGTTATTTCTTCTTATCAAACAGAAATGTTCTTTGTGTAAATAAAATACCCAATGTAATTCTTCGAATACTTTCTTTGGTTGAAAATGTCTATGTTTGGGCATATAAATTTGAAAATAAGTATTAAATTTCTTATTGAATTCGCTAATTCTAGCAGTTGTCATAACTCCTTTTCTGTTTGATTTTGAAAAACTGTTGATAAAATCTTGAAAATCTCTCGTGTAGTCTTCGTTTAAAACACGATTAACGCACTTTACAAAGCAGTATCCATCGCTCGGTATATAACAATTTATACCGATATATTCATTTATCTTTTTGAGTAGGGTAACACCACTACCCTTTTTTGATCTTTTTATTTCTTTGAAATTATTTTTACGAAAAATCATTTTTCCAGTGAAATACCAATCAGAAGCATCTGATTTATTATCCACCGTAGTGAAGAAATTGACAAAAGTTTTGATATTAAAACCTACAAATTTCATGTCTTGTTTGTGTTTTCCATCTTGAGTTATCTCTCCATTTATTTCAATTTGCCCTTTAAATGTTGTAAATTCATCAGTGATAAGCTTAATAACATCGTAAAGTTCATTTGATATGAATTTTTTATCGTCTAAAATTTCAATTTTATTCATATTTTTTAAGCAACTATTTTTAACTAGGAATTTATAACTTTTATTGATGATATTTCTACATCAAATTTATCTAAAATTTCATTGAATTTTTCTAATTCTTCAACTGTTATGTTCTTGTCTTCTCTCAATCTTTCGAAAAATATAAATAATTTATTAAGATATGTATTTAAAATTTCTGTTTTCCTTTTATAATGAGCTTTCTGTTTTGATGTAAAACCTAAAGTAAAATCCACAAGATGAAGTTTGAACGCCAGTGAACGCGGCTAATAGGGTTGGGACAATTATTGGAAGCATTAATCCACCGTTTACGGCTGTTGCCACCGATATTCCTACTGTTAAAACTTTACTTAACGTTTTGAAAACAGAATCAATTCTACTCCATGTTTTTCTACATTTGTTGAATTGTTTTAGTTTTTCTTTTAGTTCGTTTTGTTTTTCTATCATATATTGTTGTCTACTTTCGTGTTCCATTTTTTAGGTAATTAAATTAAATGAATTTCTGATAAACCAAAAGTTGGAAAGTATTTAAGATCTATAATAGAATTAATAAAAACAACTTTTACAGTTACTAACGATATTTGTTCTTTCGCATCATTAATCTTATTCAGATGAACTGAAAATTTTGGTTTTTCAATATAGATTATTATTTTAACATATACATCATCTCTTATTGTTGTTATCAAAATTTTTTGACTTTGTTGACTTTTATGAATATCAATTGAGTAAAATATATCATTATCAACAAAATATAGTTTTACATATTGAAAGTCTGTCGTTCGTAAAAACTCATAAGTGTTCCTTGCTTTTTGTGGTTCTGGATTTCTAATAATATTCATTGATGGTGGAGTTTCCGTCTCCAATATCAAATCAAAATCTCTCAATATAAATTCATCTTCTTCTTTATCTGGTATGATTAACATTCTAAACCTATCTATATATTTTCCACTTGTTTTAATTTCATATAAGTGATTAACCTTGCTGTTTTCGTCGTTAATTTCTAATTCTTTAGTTTCTACATTTTTTGTACCATTGATAAACTGAAGAACTTTACGAACGTTAAATTTTATATTTGATGAATATGAGATTTGTTTGAAGAATATTGAATCAACTTTTACCTGAAAAGGGAAAGTTATTTCAATTGTAATTTTTCCATGAAAAATAAAAGGTATTGAATATAAATCAACATTTGAATCAAAAATATATTGGGGTTGATTAATACTACTTGGAGAATATACTCTAATATTTGCTGTAATTCCATATTCATAGTCTCTTGATCTATCAAAATTATCAGTAATAGAAGCAACGTAATCTCCCAAATTTTTAAATGGAAGATTGAAATAATATGATTCTTTCTTGAAAAACTTTTTTTCTAATGCGACTATATTTTTGTCCTGTTTCAAAACTAGGTTATTAATAGTGGTTATCTGTTGTTGAATAACACTATCATCAATGTTCTGTATTGGTTGATGAATATAGGTTTTGATTTCGCTATCATCTATGTTCTGTATTTGTTGATGAATATAGGTTTTGATTTCGCTATCATCAATGTTCTGTATTTGTTGTTGAATATAGGTTTTGATTTCGCTATCATCTATGTTTTGTATTTGTTTTTTAATATTTGTTAGTTCTTTTTGTAATTCACTGTTAAGTTTAGTTTCCAGAGCATTTAATTCCTGTTGAAACGTATCTTCATTTTCATCTGGAATGTTATCTATCAATAATTGAATGTCTAATTTTTGTTTTGCAATCTTATCCTCTAATTTAGATATTAATGAAATTAAATTTTGTAACTCAGTTTTATTCGCTACGTTGACCAATTCTTTTTGAATAAAACTTATTAATCTTTGTACCTCTTGTTGTAGTATAGTATTTTTATTATTTAGTTGACGTTTGAAGAATCTTTTCACATTACTTATTTTATCTTCTAAATGGTTTTTATTTACTTCAATTGAATTTATTTGATCCCGTAAATATTTCTTGTGAATGGCATCATTATTGTTTTAAATTAAACTAGTTATGCTAAAATTGTTCATATCTAAATCACCTTGAAGAGTGTCTCCGATTTGATCCACAAATTAAGGTTTCGCTTTATTTATCCACGCTGTAGTGTTAGGTTTTTTAGTTTCTAAAGATAAAGAACCTAATCCAAACTTGTTCGCCATTTTTATTGAGTTAAATTTATTACGATTTCTTCGAACTGTTTTCCTAAACTCAACTGACATAAAACCCAAAGTGAAAGCTGACCACAAAACTTTTGTCCCGGTAATTGAATTTGAAAGGAAGAACATTTGATTGGTTTATTAGTCAATTGGATTATCTCTTCAGTGGGTTCTAATCCGTAAGAATTGAAGAAATATAAGTCAGAGTCTTTGTACAAAGCTGAATGATGAACTCCTTTTTGATCGGAAGTATGTATATTTGTTATAGTGTAAAATTTACCTTCCTTATATTTCAGATCATTTATTTCATCTCTCATACAATAATAAAACGGTGATATATTTAACTCATTCGCCCATCTCATAAGTTGAAAGTTTGTGGTTGTATCGGTTCCATATTTATCGAGAAAGATATTCATTTTTAAAAGTCGGTTTTTGAAAAAAATTGTATTACATTCAATAATATTTTGAACTTAAATTTGCATTTAAATTTAAAAAATTTAAAGCATAAATGCTTGTCTACATCTCTTAATCTTCTATCAAATTCATTCATTTTTAAAAGTCGGTTTTTTGAAGTTCATTTTGATAAAACCTTCCTATGATTTGTTCTTTGTTTTGATCGATTAATTTATATGTCGGAGGTGATGTGGTGTTTACTTTATCAACGATGAATATTTCGTTTGTCCAGTATCCAATGTAACCTTTTTCGAATTTTGCTTTTATATTTGAAAATACCAACTCGATCTCCGACTTTAAATTTTCATTTTCATAGTTATGTTGTGCGTTAATTGACTTTATAATATTTGGATTACTCGAGGCTTTTGTTGGTGTGACACCTATAGATGAATGAATTTTGTTATTGTATTCATCTACAACCTCTGGTAATATTTTAAGCCATTTTTCAATTCCGTGAACTTTTTAAATAATTTTTTTTTTAGAGTCCTGTTAAATCTTTCTATTACTACAGCTTTACCTTCGTTATGCGTGCTGTAAATTTCAAATCCCAGAGATTATTTCATAATCGTTTCAAATGCGTGTTTGACTGATAATCCCGTTTTGTTTTTCAAAGGAATAACCCATACATATCTCGTATACAAATCTATAACTGTTAAGCAATATTTAAATCCTCTTTCGACTGACATATGAATTAAATCGGCTGACCATATTTCATCTTTTTCAAACACTTTAACTTTTAATAAGTTTTTCTAAATTCTTTATGAATTTCATCCGCTAATCCCATGCCTAATTTCATCTTTGCTTTTAACAGTTTTATGATTAATGCTCTTTGCATTCTCTCTTTGAAAGTTGGATTGGAATATTTTCAAGTTCGATTATCATTTGTCTGTCTGCTTCGTGTCTGAAGTTTATGTCTTTGTTTCTGTATAGTATGTCGTGTTTAAGCGCAGCGGCGTCAACTCTATTGACTGTTTCTTCCCCTGGTTTGGGTTTATCGTTTTCGTCTAATTGCAGATCTAACCTAGTACCTGGACCGGTGTAATTATGACCGGGAAGATGTTTTTCTCTGGGATATTTCGCCCATGGAAATCCAGGAAAAGAACCCAATGATTTTTGTATATCTCCTGAACCGAAATAAGTTTTTGGAGCGTGAGCGACTATCATTTTTATCCTATGACTTTAAAACCTTTTCCTTTCCTTTATTCTAATCTCCTGTTTCGAAGTTCTCTTATTAGCTGTAATTCTTTCAACTCGTTAGATTGTTTCACTGCATCGCTTATACTCTTTCCCGCTTGCGCGATTCAGCCAACAGCTTTCGCTCCGGTTGAAATGAGTGATTTGTTGTTTGAAACAAAGCTAGCTACTTTTAGAATTTGTGTTGTTCGTGTTTTAGAATTAAACTCATCCTATTTTAAATGAGTTAATTTAACGAAGAAGTTGTGTTTCCAAAAAAGAGTTATCTCCCTTTTCTAGACTAAAAATAACATTACTTAAAACGAGGCTATTAAAAAGCGGATGTTAAGCGAAACAAGGATGTTATTTTATATAAGGGTATTTTTAATATGCTTTTTTTGATGGAATGTAGGAAATTGATTGAAGGTGTTTTTTGGTCTTTTTTAATGTAAGAATTTTATGAAATGTAGGGTGTTTTATGAAATGTAGGGTGTTTTGCTGTAAGAATTTATGAAATGTAGGGAATTTAGGTCTTTTTTTTGGGAGTTCATAGATTGGTTGCATTTTACCCATGAAATGACTGGGTCATACTCCCCAGTAATATTGATGTTTTTAAGAGTTCCGATCTACAATTTGATTTTAAAGCTGGGCATTCCACATCACAGTGTTCTTTTATCATTGATGAAACCATAACGTATTATAACAATAGACATTCTAATTTGTAATGTTTTGGACGCAAGCAAAGCATTTGATAGAGTTAATTATGTTTGCTTAATTATTGTTTATCTCTTACTTAGTAGAGGTATTTGTCCTAAAATTCAGATTAGATGGGGTAATTTCACGACAAACACCTTTAATGTCACAAATGGAGTGAAACAGGGAAGTGTATTGTCTCCAATATTATTCACTGTTTATATAGATGAACTTTAAAATCGTTGCAGACAAAGCAAATGTGGCTGTCACATAGGAAATGTTTATGTTGGAGCCTATGCCGACAATGTAACTTTCGGTGCTCCAACCAGACAGGCACTAATATCGCTTCTACATATTGCTAATACTTTTTCAAATTCAACCCTAATAAAAGTAAATTAGTATTGTTTCCACACAAATGTCGTATCTCCAATAATGCCATCAAAGATATCTTTGTAGATGGAAAACTAGTTAGTTTTGTAACCTCCGAACTTCATTTAGGTAACAATTTGAATCGTTCAAACAAATTAGAATGTCTAGATAAGAATATTCATAATTTTCTTGTTAAAGTTCATTTAACACAGAAAAATTTCAAATTTGCCAATTCTTGGTTGAAGTACTAGCTGTTCAAGACTTACTGTATGCCATCATACGGCTGTCAACTATGGGACATTAATATGTGCCTTACATGGTAGTGAGTCTACTGTTGGTAATAATATCAATACTATGTGCCATAAATATAATTTTTGTAAATACAGCATTTCAAATACAAATGTTAATATTTTGATTGATAAAATGAATTATAAAGATAACCATTCATGTGATGTTAATGATATGGCATTGGCAGGGGCCATCAGAGATTTTAAATCATTATGTGAGTTACATAACCTTGATTTACCTATCAATGACTTAAAACGAAATTATTGAATATTTATGTATATTATGAATTGTAAATACTTGTTGTGTATTGTACTTCTTTACTATGTAATCTAAACTAGTTACAAATAAATAGTATTATAATTATTATTATAACTTATCGCAACAGTCAGCCTTTCACTCGGGGGTTATTAAAGGGTGCATTCTATTCTCTTGATTGGAATTGATAGGTTCGGCCATTGCCCAAACATCTATAAAAGACTGTCTGTCTAGGCGATGATTTTGACGAAATTTCTCGAAATCTTCGATGTGTAACTCTTGTATATGTTGCAAGAAAGCTTTCCTTGAATGCCTTCTCTGGATCCAAGTTCGAACCCACTACTTGCGACAATTGGCTCTTTCGACTATGATTACGGCATAGTAACAGCGTTAATAGCTAAGACTAAGAATTGGGCTTGGTACTATCAATCAAATGGGCGCGGCCATTCTGAATTGTTACATCACTACGCATGCATACATAAATTCACCTCTAAGCAGATAGTATTAGTTATGCGCACACACAAGCATTTGTTCATTCGTGGAAAAAATTATCAAACACGTTTGATTTTCAACTTTTCGTCACGAATGACCAAAATCTTACATAAATTTACCCGCACACGGAAGCTATCGCCTTAAGGAGTAGTGCACAAATGAATTCTGTCTGAGCTGATGGCTCGTGTGTGTGCAGGACTTTATAGCTTAATATGGTGTTTACAACAATGTTTCAAGGCGAAATAATTCAATCTCACAAAATATCAAAACTTACTTCTTAATAACTGAAAATTACCAAAACTCAATGAAAGTTAGTTTGAGTAGATACATTTAATTTATTAAAAACTTCTTTTAACACTGGGCAATGTAAATGTATGTATTTTTTATACCCCCATACGAAATTTGGAATTATTTTGTTATCATATTTTCTGTTAGTCTATCCTTCTGATGTCTGTTCATGATTTATGGTGTTTTACTCAACTAAGTGCTATGCTGTTTAATTAATTAATATGATGTATCAAGTAGGGCTATCTCTGTCAATTCTGTGATGATTTCAAATATGAAAGTGTTGATCTTGGCTCAAAAACAAAGTAAGTGATGGATACTATCATGTGCTGACACTACAGCATATTTAGAAGTATCTACCATGTGGGTAACACCGTGCTTTAGTTGACTTTCTTAGTATTAAACTTTAACGTTTTCTTTTCTTTTTCCTTTAGTTTTATTATTATGAGGTAGAAGTAAATATTGTTATATTTTTTTAGCACCTTTGTTAATGATCTAACAAAATTTTGTGTTTTTTTTGTTTAGGTTTGGGATTTTTATGTTTAAAGTGTATGGAAAGTCAATTATGGGTCACGTGACACCTACCGTGAATGTTTCTATATATCCTATTGTATCCAATTCCAATCTTATAATCGATAATTAAGATAAATGTATAAGTAAAACAAAGACGATTTGTGTTCAATTCCCGTTTGTTTACAAAAACAGTCCGCCATTACGTCGTATTAATCACATGACCACATGACGTCATTTTTGGAACCATCGTTAACCTCATAACCTTGATAGGATACGTTAATGTTTACAATATTTACATCAAAATGCCAAAGCGCGGTGTCGCGCAATTTTGCAGCTATACCTGTAAAGAAAGCAGTTAACACGGCTTTCCAAAAGACGCTGGTCAAATTCGTACAATTGAAAAGGGCTGACTTCAAGGCGTCGACTGAAAACTCTCAGTCTGTTATTTATTTCACTTCAAAACTCTTTTTTTTTTAGAAAATATTCTAAATTGGAAAATTGACATAGCCAGAATAGTGTTTTAAAATTCGATTCGCATATGAGACCCCATTAGAAATATATTATACGTTCATATTTTTAATTAATACTAAAAAAATCGGCATTTAAACTTAGCCAAAACGGTCAAATATCAATTTCCCAGCATAAAACGGTGGTAATGGCGGCCATTTTGGAACACCTTTGAAGCGTAACAAAAGCGAAAAATGAAGTTGATTTCATGAAATTTCAGTTTATATCAAACACTAAACTCATAAATGATTTATAACTATCATTTCTTAATTTAAAGTATATTTTGAGCGGATAATTTCATATTATTTCAATTATTTGATCAGAAGGTCTACTTTCACTTTATCATTAATTGGTAGGCCTATGTGTGTGTTTTACCAATTCAGATTTGGGAATGTAGGAACTCATGATGTTATTAAAATTATCTATTGTCTTTAAAATAAATTATGATTAGGTTACATGTATTATAAGATAGTTTTAATCTTATAATGACTTGTTCCGTATATCACTTATAAAATGAGTGTGAAGAAATCATACAAATAACGACCCTATTTCTCCACTATTACCCCATTCATCATGGAATATCTTAAAGACTAATCAAGATATTTTAATTCTGTAAAGGTTTTCATCGAGAGAAGATATGAATATTTTGAAGCGGGCGATTTTTAATACAAAATGAACGCTACGAACCAGTCATAAATTTATTTCCCAATTAATCTCAATCTTCATGAATTTCGGCAGTGTCATCGTCCTGGTTTGGCCTTTCACTGTCAGTCATCCCTTCCCGAGGACGCCTAACTGGCTCGAACTGGTAGCCCACCACACCCCCAAACATTTCGTATTCATCTTCTTCGTCTTCATTATAATACATAACACCCGCCACATTGTTTATCTGTCAGTGTAGCGTTCCCAGAAACCACCGCGTCAAGTCCATAATTACGTCATGCATACATTAGCGTACATTCGGATATTTCCGGAACGTGCTCGTGGTTTTCCGTACAAATCATCGATTTTCCATCAAAATATCACTTTTGCACCTTCTCGAATTTTTTTTTCCACGAAAAGGATAGTGGCATTCAATTCAATCATTAATTATTTATCAAATACAAAAATACACCATATTAAGACTTTCCATGTTCTTTAACCAGTTTTAGTTAACAACTACCCCACATTAAACCTACTAATGACTATCTGTTATTTGTTAAATGCCATGACAAACAGATTCTAACCATACTAAATTATATTAAAATTTACCTTCATTTTTCCACTAAATCAATAAAACCTAACCAAGCCGTACTAAATCATTTCAACCTAACCTAACCTAACCTTACTAAAGCATTTAAACCCAGCCTTGGCTTACCCTACTAAAGCATTAAAACCTTACCTAACTCTACTAAATCATTACAACCTAACCCTACTAAATTATTAAAACCTAACCCTACCAAATCATTTAAACCTAACTTATTCTACTAAATCATTAAAACCTTACGTAACCCTACTAAATCATTACAACCTAAACCTACTAAATCAATAAATCCTAACCTAACTCTACTAAATTATTAAAAACTATCCTTCCCTACTAAATCATTGAA